ATAAACCCTCTTCTTGACAATGTTCTCAAACTCGAATTTGACTTGGAATGATATATATATATATACACACACACCCACATAAAGTTTATTGTTATTTCAGACAGAGTGACTGTTCTAATACGCGAATTACCGTTTTAACGTTTGGTCATTGGACAAAACAATGACCCCATAGCCGGTTTCTTCTTGTGTTGTTAGGGCCTGTATACGTTGACTATATATACAAATAATGTATACATGGATTTAGAAAAAAGATGTGAAGTCAAATGTTTTCACTAGGAACGACGTATACGGTTTGTATATATTTTTTCAGAATGACGCGTTTATTTAGACACTGAAGTGAGAAACTTCTTGTTGAAAAATCTGGAGTTAATGACTTTTGATAGAATGTGTTTCGCAGGAAACAAACAGTCTCTCATGGCTTGCGTTGTTTTTGGCTGAATAATCCAATGTGTACATTTGACTTTTACATGCCTAATGATGGATGGTAAACTATGTGCACCTATAGCTATGAGTAACGTCAATCAGTCCAAAGCAGTCTTGAACTTTGGTAAGAAAATGTAGGCAGTCCATCAAACACTTATATACTACATATTTAGCAAATAAATCTCTATATACCCACAAGAGAGGTTTGCCTGGTTGAAAAAAAAAAAACTTGGGTCGCTCCTAGGTATAAATAATTTTTTAGGGGCTATGCCTGTAGATATAATTTGAACTTATTTTACATGATTCTTGTGGAGGCGCCTTGTACGAAGTCTGCGGATTAGTCAAGGCAAAATCTCCCGACACCCCTATTATCGAAAAAAAAAAAAAAAAACTTATGTGCCTGTTTAGTTTATAATTCTGAAAACGATTCTCAAAAATTTAGAGAACTATAACTTAGTTTTCAGAAAATTGCGCTAAACAGAGTTTTTTGTACAGTTTTTTATAAACAGAAATCTATTCTCAGAGATATAAACCAAGCAGGCCCTATATAACTCTCTCTCTCTCTCTCTCTCTCTCTGTATATATATATGTATGTATAGGCACGGACCTGGTTAAGGACCAGTGGGGGAGGATGCCCCCAGTGGATTTTTTCTTATTTGCATTATAATCTATACTTTTTGTTAAAATTTTGAAAATGTCTCCTCTCAAGTTGTAAACATTTTAAAAATGACCCCTAAATTTGTAAAAATACCACACTTCACATCTTGCCTTACTGATTTTTTGGATCCAAAAGATAATTACCTCTTTTTCACTTTCTACCGCCCACCATATTCATGATTCTCTCTTACACACTTTGATATTCCCGTTTAATTTTTTAAAATACCACTATATATATTCTTGCATTTTAGATCCAAAGAAAGTAAAGTAAATCCGTTGTCTTGTTTTTTCATGTCCCACATCCATGGTAATCTAGAAACTACAAACACGGTTAAAATATCAAATAATCTAAGTCAGACAAGTAACAAAATATTAAATTTTTACATTTATTATTTTATTAAAAAAAAATTATCTTCAATTTATTATTATTATTATTATTTTTTATTTTTTAATTCTTCAACAACGCCCCCTCTCAAAAAAAATTCTTGAGTTCGTGACTGTATATGTATGTATATACATATAAGTGATGGTCAGCAAGATTTTTTCCGTTTTTTTTTTGGTCCCGCCTTGTGTTTGAATGAGGGAAGACATATATATACACACACAACAGACATATACATACAACACTGACATATATATACACACACACAACAGACATATACATACAACACTGATATATATATATATATACACAAGCCCAACACCAAATTGATAGCCCATGCGAGAGATAATAGAGAAGGAAGAGAGCAATAGTAAATTTGGTAATAGTTATATGTTGTGTTATATTTGATACAATATTTAGTAAAGTTATATTTTGACAGCTCATTTGGTATGCCATTGAAGAGTCCATTTTAAATCTATATGCTATATTTTAAAAATAACAATAACAATTCATTGGAATTGCTCATACATGGGGGGTATTATTTCCCCCGGTGGCCATGAAGTAATTAAGTTGGTGGGTTGGACCAAGCATTGAACGACACAGTACAATAGTCTAAGCCCCTCTTTTATTAGTGTGATACAATCATAAGTTCCAAATAAATCTTTCAAATGATCAATTATTTTATTTTATTTTATTTTTTTTATAAATTAGTTTTATCAATTAAATCGAATTAAAATTACTATATTCTTCATAAAATCAAATGCAATTTCTTTATCATATTGTGTTATTTATTTTAAGTTAGGACGAGAGCTAGAAATATCTAGAAGGAGAAGGAAAACTCCAACCAGTGTTTATACAAGTTGACTCATCATCAATTAGCAAAGAAATGTCAAATTCTTGGAAATATGAGTCTCAAAGAAATAAATAAAAAAAGAAAAAAAAGGGGGTTTAGTGAGAGATGCATGTACATTCCCAAATATAGGAGATGCAATTTGAATTTGGCACTGCTTCTTATTTCTTAGGTTTAAGGGATTTCATGGACATTTTTATTCTTTTGACTTGAGATATTGGGCTTAATAAGATTTTTTTTTAACAAATTATAACTAAATGTTGAGTTGATAATAATATGCCTTTTTATCTTCACACAACAAAATTCACTTTCAAGTTGAAAAAAAATAAAAAAAAATGAGGTGGTAATGTTTTCTATATATAAAAGGAACTTGACAATCAAGTTTTGTTGTCACAGATGTATTAAATATTAATTAGAGCATTTTAAAAATTGAGAGAGGTATTTTGTATTTATTATCAGACAAAAAATATTTATTGGACTGTATTGTTGGAGTGCTACAAAAAACAAATCGAACATTATAATATACTCAATTACTACTACTATTACTTATTTTATTATTTATTTTTTTTTTGAGGTGAAAACTAGATATCAACCTCAATGGCTTGGATCAACCCATTTGCCGATGAAGGCTGGTTGATGTACCATCAATTTTGCTGCCTAAACTCTCTCTCTCTCTCTCTCTCTCTCTCTCATGCACACACAAACAAATATCACACAAAAAATCAAATGACTTGCAGTGCCTAACCTGATCTGAAAAGAAAATGACTTGTTCCTTGTGGATAGAATGTGAACCCTATATTGCTAGCTTTCTTGAATCTCAGCCTATGATTGAAAATAGATATGAACTGAAAGATCACTACAAATTCTACAATGGAAATTATGATTGTAAAATCCAAAATATTGAATTAGTAGTCTGAAACCTTGAATTAATGTTCATACTACTACATTATTACTACTGCACGTGACCTGACACAAGAGACATTGGTCCATGTGGGGTTATGAACCTAAATGCTCTTGTGTAATCGCGTGTTGTAAATCCAACCGCAAAACCACCGTAGTGATGAAATTTCACTAGTAAATTTTTTGAAATTCAACTAACGCGTTTGTGAAATTTTTGCTTAATGTAATGATAAAATTTCAAAATATATGTGATATAGTTTACATATGTCACGAGAGACGATCTGAACCCGGTAACAGGATACCACTAAAAGAAGTGTAATGGAGAGAATTTGGATTGTTGTACTTAAAATTGTCAACTGAGATAACGGATTTAGCTATTTTCACTTGGAGATGGATTCAAGTGAATTATATGGGTATGTTTGACTAATGCTTTTGTTTTGTATTTTTAACTTTTGCTAGTGTACGGTAATGAAGCAAAAACACAAAGCATATTTGGTAACGTTTATTGTCATAGAATAACTAACGAAATTGAGGTCAAAATTGAAAGCATAAAAATGATATTTTTGTTTGTTTTTAAATGGTAACAAATTATTGTTCCAAAAAAAAAAAATAAAAAATGATCTAAAATGACATTTTAATTAGTTATTCAAATTTTCAAACTTGCAACACTTTTTAACAAATATGCTTTCATGTTTTTGTTTTAAAAAATCTTATAACAAATTTACATTATCAAATAAGTTTTGAACTCTAAAACAGAAACAGAAACTTTGTTTCTATTTAAGATCAAAACAAAAACATGAAACAAAAGCGGTTACCAAACAGACTACCAAATATTGAAGTTCCGGAGTTAAGTTCTCATGATGAAATCCATAATTGCGGATGCTTGTGTTTCAAAAAAATAAATAAAAGAAAAAAGAATTAAGTAATTTTGACAGGCATAGAGAGGTAATGTGTGTGTTACTGAAGCACAAGATATGCCTAAGTTATATAAGAATGCATCACCCCGTAATCACAAATGACCGCATAGCGCAGTGGATTAGCGCGTTTGACTTCGGATCAAAAGGTCGTGGGTTCGACTCCCACTGTGGTCGATTTATAACTTCCATTTTTTATTTTTTTCATTTATTTGCTCCACTTCTCTTTTACCTGTGGAGTGTAGTCAGTTCCAGTATTTTATTATGGTAACAAGAAGAGACATAAGACGTGTTTTGATCAAGCTTCTCATATTGCTCATGCCATTTCAGGTCTTTAAACGCTTTTGCTGTGCAGGAGTGACTCTTTCTGGTTCAGAGAACTGATGATGTCTCAGTCTCATGAATTTATTCCCTGGTAACATATTTGCTGTATTGACTTGACTTCTCTATCACCCGGGCTCCAAAGCTTGGTTGCTTTACTTTAAGGCTATGGATACTCCGTCGTTTCAGTCATTGCGCTACTGAGATTATAATGCTGATATCCAACAGTTAATATAAGAATGGTTCATCGTCTCCTTTGTGAATTTTTTTTTTCCCTTTTCTTTTGGTTTACCGTGTAACTTCATGACCCTAATTGGGAGAGTAGAATTGGGGGCTGGTTTTTCCCCTCTTTTTGGTGAATCATAAATTTCAATTTGCAGCCTACAGTATTTTTTTTTCAGTCATATATAGTAATTACATAAACCTGTGTAGTTTTTTTGTTCTTTGTTGCTCTTTTTTTATGTTGGAAACTTGGAGAATGCCCTCGTATTACCACGCACATTTTTTTTCCCCGGCAAACAATTCCACCATATCTATCAGAAAAAGAACAAGAGACAAAAACCCAAAACTACGTTCTCATTTAATAATGAGTCGCGGAAACCAAACAAGAAACTAATTTAAATCAAATAACAAGTATCCTCTGCATTTGAGAGTAGGTACCCCAAATCCCTCTTCCAAATCAAACCTACCGAACAAGTAAAAGTAAATCAAACTTTAATGGCATACTTTCTCAATGGAAAGTACATCTCTTTCTTTTTCTCCCTCTCGGTCTTCAAAGATGTCTGCATGAAGCACCAGAACAAAATAAGAGATTTGTTTTAACATTGGCGTGTTGAGACTTGAGACATACACAAGGGCATAACAATCAAAATTTAGCAATAACATTTTGGTGGATCTCCACATTTGACAATAATAGTTGTAGCAAAAAAAAAAAAAAAAAAAAAAAAAAAAAAAAAAAAAAAAAAGACATATACACTTGGCCATATCCTGGCATCATTTTAGTTTAAGATACAACCATTAGCCATATTGTGTCCTTATATTAGTTGAAGGTACAACCAGAAAACATATTGAGGCAACATGGTAATTATTACATAATGAAGCCATCAATCAAGGTAACATGGCATATACGCAACTGTAAACCTTAGCAACGTGGGAACCAGGAATGAAGGTGCTGAAATAGTTTAAGGTCCATTCATACCATAAATAGAACTAGAACGAGCAGGCAACATGTATTTTCTGCACATTAGAGAACAAGGTAACGAGACATCTATCTAGGTGACTATATAGTCCTGCTTTGTTTGTCAGTCTTATAAGAAACAAAGTTGATGGAGGTTCACTTTGGGTTTAAGAGCATCTTATTGCAGTGTCCAGGAGTGTAAGAAAGTCCAGAGGTGGTTCTCGATTAGAAGTGGAAGTAAATTGAGCATTGAGTGTCTTTTATAGATGAAAGAACTAAACTATCATAGAGTGGCTGTAGTTCATCACTATATTGGTAAAGAATTCCCATTCAATGTGGAACCAAATAAGCCAGCTGGAGGCTTTCCAAGGATGCCTAATTGATCTCATCAGCCAGAAATGCTCAATTTTAAAATATCCATTTAAAACAGCATGCAGGTGGCTTTTATTAGATCAGATTTGGGCTTCTAACAAAGAACTACCAGAAAAATATTTGACTCAAGGCCTTGGCGTAGAGATCATTGTGACATTTCCAAGGTCTCAACACAGGATTGGCAATGAGAACCTTATTTGTAACATCTGTTTTCATCCAGCTTAAGCCCCCTGCCTGTTTGGGTTATGTTGCGATGGTTCAGTTTAAATAATGAGAAGATGGATGAAATGACGAAATCAGTGTTTTTCCCAATAAAAGTTAAAGGTCTTTCAGGTCAACAGTTTCAAGGAAGAAACTGAGAGATCTAGAAAGACTTGAGGGGGTATTGGAAAAGAAAATGATCTTGAACTTCACAAAAATTTATGGACCAAATGCTTGACAAGACAAATTCGAGAATCTGGTTAGATTCAGCACACCTTTAAGCATCTCAGGAAAACAGGAAAATGCAGTACGAAAACAGAAGATGATATATCAAAGTCCTAGATGTAAAAATCTAATTAGAGGTTAACACAGATAACAAAGATCATCACCACATCTTTATGTTGTGCCCATATTTTCAGTCAACGAGTGTTTGAATTGAATATGATATGTATGACCATAAAATGAAGTTAGCTCAAGGACTGCCAAGGGGGCCATTTGATGTTTATCAGACACCTACTAATCTCTATGCATTTCCATATTTCACAAGAAAATAGTAGGGGTGCAAGTTGGACAGGCCCAGCGCAATCTTGGGTCACTGCGAGCCAACCTGACCTCAGGTGAGGTGGGTTGGGCCCTTTTTTTTTTTTTTTTTTTTTTTTCCTTGCCTGATTGGATATCTTACCAAACCAAGTAAAAGAAAAAAAATATTTGCAGCAATTGGGTAGGCCCACCTTTTTTTTTTTTCCTTCCCCTTTTTTGATATCTTACCAAACCAAGTAAAGCGGAAACTGAAAAATATTGTTTCCGACAACTACAATTACTTCCATACAAAACATAATCTGTCTAGAAACACAATTAAAAAAGAAAACTCAAAAACAACCCATGCACAAAGAAAAACCACAAATCACTTTCCTTTCTTCTGTAAACTTGAGCATTCCCTTTTCTATGATATCTGTAAGGACAACCCCAAAACACGGTTGTTTGAAAATATTTTCTATGTATATCAGAATAGAGTATTCTTAGCTGAGACTCGAACAAGAGAAAAAAAAAAAAAAGTGTTTCAGAGAGAAAGAGGTGAGGGAGACTCGAACTAGGAGGAGAACCCCGATGAATACGACAACAAGGGAAGACGACTGCAGTGGCGATGAGGGCAAGATGACATGAAATAACTCTCTTTCAAGAAACAACTCAGGAAAAGGGTAATTAACAATATTAATGAGAGCAAGACGATGGCAAAGACAGCGATAGATTCTCTGAATGAATACAACGACGGTGCAGGATTCTCAATTTTTATGCACAGTAAATAACACACAACGGCAGGACTAAGGATTAGGGTAATATAAACACGTAATCAACTGTTGGATCAAATAATTTAAGGGTTAGGATAATTTACATAAGTACGCAATTTGGGCCCGCCCGACTTGCACCCTAATAATATGTTCAATAAATTCCGTAGTCGCAATATAACTGAGATTGAAGATTTTTTTTAGGGATGCAAGTCGGGCTACCCAGCCCAAAAATTTTTGGGCTTAGGCCTGTTAGTCCAAAAATTAGGTTGGGATCAAGTTTAAATTTTTTAACCCGAGTGCCCATTTAGAGTTGGGCTCAAGTTGGAACGATTCTAACCTGATCAAATCCGAACTTGAATTGTATATTATCGTAAACCTTAAATTATTTGATCTAATGATTGGTTACTTGTGTATGAACCCTCAACCCTACTGTGCTGTGCTCTGAGAACTCTAGTTGTGTTCATCCATTGTGTTCATGCACTACTGAGAACGAGAATCCCTTGCCGGCATTAACGCCGCCTTGCTCTCACTGCCACCTTTGATTAGTCTTTACCTGAATTGTCTACCCTGAGCTCACCGGCAGGAAATGGCCAATTTTCAAATATCATTTTAAAGCAGCTCACATGTGACTTTTATTAGATCAGATATGGACTTCTAACAATGAACTACCAGAGAAATATTTGACAAAAGGCCTTATTTGTAACATCTGGTTTCATCCAGCTTAAGCCTCTGCCTGTTTGGGTTATGTCACAATGGTTCAGTTTAAATAATGAGAAGATGACTGAAATGATTAAATCAGTGATTTTCCCAATAAAAGTTAATGACCACTCAGGTCACCAGTTTTAGGGAAGAAACAGAGAGATTAGAAAGACTTGAGGGGATGTCCGGGAAGAAATGGATCTTGAACTTCACAGAAATTTATGGACAAAATACATGACAAGTCAATTCAAGAATTTAAGTTAAATTTAGCACATAGTTTAAACATTCTTAGTAAAACAGGAAAATGCAGTTACATAAACAGGACATGACATATTAAGATCCTAGATGTGAAACTCTAGTGGGAGGTTTAAGTCAAGACACAGATAATAAAGACCAACGCCACATTTTTTACCTTGTGCCCATATTTTCAGTCAGTGTGTTTGAATCAAATGAGTGATATGACCAATAAAACGGAGCTAATTCAAGGATTGTGGGCCTACTAATCTCTATGCATTTCCAAATTTCAGAAGAAAATAACTTAGATCTCAAAGAACGAATTTTATTGGACATAATATTAGAGGTAAAGACAATTAACACCTAAGCAAGGATTAAAGGTGCCAGATTAACCTGAAAAGAATAGAAATAAAGGTGGAGGATTATTACCTGGTGTTTGGTGAGGCGTCTTCGAATGGCTCTGGTCTTCTTGGGACGCAGATCAAGGGGCAGGTACTTCTTGTTCTTGTAGGCTTCCCTCAGAGCTGCCTTCTGTTTCTGCGAAATCACCGTCAAAACCTGCGCTATCGATAACCTAACCACCTTTCTGTATCCACAATGCACCAATTCAAATTTAATATGAATACAACATTTTAGTCCACACAGATACAAACTTATATATATAGAGAGAGAGAGACAGTGTGTCTGGGAGAATGGTACATACATCTTGGAGAGCTTGTTGGGGGCACCGCCGGTGACCTTGGCAACACGGAGGAGAGCAAGCTCTGCTTTCAGTTCTTTCAACTGGCCCAACAGTTCCGTTTTCGACTTACCCCTCAGCTCGTGAACCTTGATCCGAGCTATATATATATATATACACACATATATATTCACATACAAAAAGAACACCAAACAAGAAGAACAAAGAAAGAAAAGAGTCAGTTTGAAAAAAACGATGGAGATACACCTATATAAATATACATTAATGAAGAAATCAGAGTAGCATCGTTCATCGTTTTCTTCTTCTTACCCATGGCGTCTCTCTCTCTCTTTCTCTGTGCAAAAGCTAGAGCTGAAAATTAAACCCTAGTCCTCCACAGCGGGTCTGGAACCCTAATTCTAAAATCGCGGAATATGAATGGCAAGAACTGTGCAGGTTGTGCGAGGATGTGGGCTTGGTTACGGGCCTTAACATTTGATCTAGCCCATAATGGCCTATTTATTTATTTTTAGGGAGTCAATAAGCTGGATGCAAAAGGGGTGAATATGTCCAAGCCCAATAGGGTATAGTTTTTGTCTGGGCCAGGCCATCCACCAAGTGTCTGATCCATGGTGGCCCATATTATTATTATTATTATTTTTCTGGGGGACAAGGACGATGGTGGCCTTTAGCCCGTTAGAGCATTCTATAATTTAATACTGTGCACATGCACCGGGCAGTTACTACAAAATTTTTTTGGAGTGATCCGAGGAGATTCAAAGTTCGAGCTTCCAAAATGTGAAAAAGCCTTTGCCATTAGACTATTTTGTTGAATTTATTCACTTTTACATAGTTTCATAGAATTGAAACCTCAGCTTTACATGATACTCGGAGACAAAACTTTAGTAGTATCTTTCCTTAATTTTTATTGTCACCACTTTCTTTTACAGTTACGTACTAGTATTAAGTTCCTCTTCTACATTGCCAAAAAACTGGTATTGGATAACAATTACACCAAAATGGTGGTCGACTTCTTGATTTTGTATGGTAGTATATGAAAGAAATTTTTTTGTTAAAAATAAATAAATAAAATGTATATAAAATAACATTAATGTCGAAAATGGGCATATTAAATGATCATGCTCAACATCTCCAACACAAATACTAGTTTAGCTTGCATTAGAGACCATTAATTACTGCCCTTTCTTGTATAGACATATTGGAAAGCCAGAGCTTCACTGTTTATTTGTTAGTATTTGGCTTTCCTTCAAGAGAAGATTTTTTTTTTTTTTTTTTTTTTTTTTTTTTCCGGGTAATTAAAAAAATAATAATTACAGATTAACAGGAACTTGATGGTAAGTTCCTTTTCTAAAATATCTATAAAGGTAATGAAATCAGGAGTATCCTTCAACTTTTTCTTCAACAAACAAAATAGGATCACCCTTTTGCTTTCTACACCATGATGATAGGGACACACATACACTGGGGTGACAAAACCATGGTCTTTAGCAAAGTTAAAAAAAAAAGCCTTAATCCTCCAGTGAATTTAATTAACTTTTATTCCGAGAAAATCGCGATTCTTTTTCTTATAATTGGTATAATCATTGTGCCATCTTGTCAAAAAAGTTTGGAAGATCCAGTACTGCCAAAAAAATTTCCACAGAAAAGCACCAATTTCCACATTTACACGCTTTTCCAACCATTGAAGGACATCAAATGCAGACTATTCTGCAAATGAATAATATTTGTTTGATTAAATCTACTGAAAAAAAATGCTGCAAATGAATAATATTTGTTCGATTAAATCTATTTTATTGACTTATACTTATTGAAGATTAGTTTGATTATTATGGAACATATAGAATAAACTTTTGGAATCTTCCAATGAGTGAGTTGCAGAGACTTGTTGATCAGAAAAATGAGTCTTTGGTTGCATGAAGTTGTAATTAGTATTTGTGAGGGATGTGTGCAAATTTTAATTAGAAGGATTGTATTAATGGTCTTAAAAAAAACATTAACAAAGAAAACAAAATAATAATAAAAAAATGACAGAATATATAGATAGATTAGATATTGTTTTTTCTTGGTGATCTTAATGTTGTTAGCCCATCAAAATCAAATTAGAGACTTTTGTCACACCTACATCTGGACCATCCACAAACTCTATCACTACAAAATAATATCTAAGAAAAAGCTAGTTCCGCATTAAAGCTATATATGTCAGCGAGCATGGGACATTCAATTCTGAATTGTAAGAAATATAGTTAAAATTTTGAATTGGAGTAAATTTTAATTTTTTTCAATTCAAAATTAAAAACGTGAATTCAATACTCCAAAACACAACGTGCCTGTTTGTTCATAAAATTTTCTCAATTAATCTTCTTTCAATATCTAGGAGTTTGGTGGGGAGAGTAGTGATAAGTAATTTATCAGTTGTCAGATAGTGATAGTGAAACTGTGAAAAAGTGAACAATAAGGTGGGTCTGCATTCTTTTGCAGAGAAAGAAGATACACAGAATCACAAACAGAGACATGAAGCAACTAACAACTGTGGATTCATTTAATTAATTAAAGAGGAACATAAAGCAGAAAGAGGGAAAAAGAGAACACATAATTAAAAAAAGTTTAAAATTTTTAATCTACTCAAGGGACCCTTTAATCCCTCCACTAAATTGAAAGCCCCACAGCTTTAAACGCGTGATTACAAAACAAATGCCTTGAATATGACCCCACACGACAATATAATTCTACGAAACATTGGATAAAGTACTTAAAAAAAATGCCTTCAGGAATAATTTACTAGGTGCATGTGTGTGTGAGAGAGGGAGAGAGAGGAGAGAGTAATGCAAGTTCATTGGATTTCACAATTTTAATTTCTATGGCATGGAAAGAAGTTCCAACTTTCCTTCAGAGGGAAAAGTATAAGAGAAATATTAAATGCAGTCGCCAGTCTTGTCACGAGACTCACAATATTTAAAGATTGTACAGTGTATAGCCCGAAACTCTTATAGATACTTAAAATTACTTCGATAAGAATGTAATAATAAGACCTAGTATTTATTTTAAAGTTGATTCTAGTCTAGTCCAACAAGAAGCAACTGAGTACAAAACTTTCTGATTATCATGGCAATTCTGGGACCCCAATCAGAACATTTTCGTCAAAAATGGAGGCTGTTGGAGGATTCTGGTTATTAAACATCATTACACACATTGCCGACTTAGTACAGTAATGCTAATCAGTTAGCAATAAAGAGCGTGTAATTATTACAATATCAACTTTATCATCCACTTAGAATGTTAAGAAATTGAATTATATCTAACATAAAGGAACACACGGAAGCCATTACTGAGTTTAATCATTACAATTACACGATATATATAACAAATTTATACTACTTTAATAAACAAGGATATATATATATATATATATATATATATATATATATAAAATGCAGTTCACTTTGAATAAATTCTTAGAGTTACCAGTAATTTGTTTGCTTTTTCTGATGGTGTGTGTCAATGATTTTGGCTGTAATTTTTTATGAATTTCATTCAATTCTATATTTGCCACCATTAAGAAAGGACCGAATCATTTAGTTTTGAATAATGATTCTTAGACCTAATCTCGACCGAATTATTTGGTCTCAATAGCATTATACTTTGACATATCGAATATATAAAGAGTAATGATGCCTTTGATGACACACGACTTGTGGGAGGCTCACAGCTACATGAGACTGTGTGACACTTTTGGAATTTGGCATATATAAATTATGGTATTGGATGATAATTAATTACACAAATTATTCTCTCTCTGATTTGTATGTTTTTCATATCTTCTTGTTTATTTCTCGGAAAACACATATTGGATAAATTATACACTCTTCTGAATAGGGTGAGTCTGCGAGGGTCAACTTGTGTGATTAATTTTAGTAATTAGGAATTTAAGATACAAAACCGACACTAAATGAGATAACATCACATGCCTTTCTGCGCATCTTTAGCTGTATTTCAGATGCAGATACCCCACCTTAGCTCATTCTTACTTTGTCTTCTTCATCTTCTTATATAATTTATTGCCATTCCATTCAATTTACCAGAATCAAACAATACTCACTATTGACCGTTGCCTTGTCTCATCCATTTTTAATCCCGTAATTAGGGTTCAAATTCTGCTTCTCCATCAACTTTCATTCAACTCGATGACATCTATTATTAAGTTATTAATCCATACTCAAACCAAAAGGAATAGTTAAACTAAAGTTTATGAATCTGTTACATGTGAAATAATAATTGATTTATTGTTAAATCGATCAAAAATTCGTCTGCAATATCATTCTAGGATTGCCCAAAAACTATGGAGTAGACCTAGCCACAGCTCTAATCCATGTTCGGAAATTCATTTTTACCAGCACGAGGATAAAATGGTCATTCCCAAAAATAAAAAATAAAAAATAAAAAATAAAAAAAAATGAAAAAGGCTATGATACAATACTTGCGGCTATTTCTCTGTGAAGTCCATAGACTTAATGTAACAAAATGATGTGGTAATAATAAGACTACTTGGTTATGAAAGTTGCCTCATGCTGCTATTTAGTGGTAGTAATCATGATTACACAAAGATGAACACAAATTGTTTACCCATCCCAAAAACAAAAGTTGAACACTACTTTAAAGGTCCAGAGAAATCATGTACCCTCCTAGGGTTTCATTATTCATTAATTCAGTTCTGGTGGGACAAGAAAAAGAAAAAGAATATAAATAAATAAATAAATAAAGCAAGTAGTCTCTGATCTCTCTCTTTCTAATCCACCTACTTTATAAGGAGGTCAATTAGCCTCATTTTGAAAAACTTTGTCATAGTCTCTCTTGCACATTCACTATCCCATCCATTGCTTCTCTCTTTGAGCCATTTCTTTGCTTTCTCACAAACATGAAACGCATGGACCTATTCTGTGCTTCTCCAGCTTCCACAGCCATATGTTCAAGCATGGAACAACGGTCCATGGTCCGCCATGCCACAAGGCCAATCGATCGCCATAGCCACCGTCTCGGTGATCGAAGGAAAGGCCGAACACCTATCACTTGTTCTTCTCAACTACCCATTGATCCAAAAACTTATTATCAGAAGTATCAAAAGAGTTCTAGTGCTAAGCAAAATGATGTACAACGTAGACGAAGCTCGGCTGACATAGCTGATCTACCTAGTCCTGCTGCTTCTTCTAGGTATCTCTTGAGTGACACCCCTTTTTTCAGCTTGTTATCGGATTCAGATCATCTCAAAGCACTGGTTCCTAGTCAACCTATGAGGCCGAGGCCAAGGCCTCCTCAGAGCTCAAATAATTGTCCTGCTTTAAGATCATTGTCAACTGGTTCTCGCCCTCATGAGCAGGTTTTTGTACTTCTTCTTCTTCTTTCATTAAATCTACTACTAACAAAATAGTTAATAAAAAAAAAAAATTTAATAGGAAATTGGACAAACAAGGTTTGTGCAATTTTTAGTTATAATTATGATAATTATTCTTTATTAATATGCCTTTGTAGGTCGTGGAATTGAGGGTCTCACTGCATTGCAAGGGATGTGAAGGAAAAGTTCGAAAACATATCTCTAGAATGGAAGGTAAGTGTCACACACTACAATTACATTTTTCTGACCAAGTTCTTAATTAGTTTAATGGGTAATTCATTGAAAATTAAGACTACAATATAAATTAATGGTTTCGGATAATTTTGTGCAGGGGTGAAATCATTCAGTATAGATTTGGCCACAAAGAAAGTGACTATCATAGGCAATGTGACCCCATTGGATGTACTCACTAGCATTTCGAGGGTGAAGAGCGCGCAGTTTTGGCCATCTCCAACTTCTTCTTCATCATCATCATCACCTTCGTCGTTGTCCTCACCAGCAGTTGGCCTGAGTTAATTACTAGCTAAAAGCTCTTAGGAAACCAGCCTGTTCTTTTCTACTTTTTGCCTTGTAATGAAATTAATTAGTGTGAAATCTCAGCATGGTGTGTGTGTTTGAATAACTAGTTAGATGTTTAATTACTTACTAATTATGTAATTTAAATGTAAATCTGATTATGATCGAGATCACTTCAGATCCTAATCCTCGTGTTGTTCAAAATAATGTAAAAAGTACTAAAAGAGACTGTTGTGTTTCTCTTGTACTCTCTGCTTATCATGCTCTTGGAACAAACAATTTGTGCCTTTTTTAAGATATTCCCTTTTCCTTTGTTTAATTCTGAAAAACTTCTTAGGCTGGCAATGGCATGTTCTCCTCTGAACACCATGTCCTCTTGTTTACTACTTCCCGTAAGATGTGATATATATGTGTACATATATCACACATGCATCAAAATATATAGATATGGTTATATATATATATATATATATATAAGAATCATGAAGTGATAACATTTAGCAAGAAGTGAAATTGCATAAGCATCAAAGATTCAAAATCTATATGAATAATAATGTTACAAAAGCTAAAGATCTTTATGAAGACTTGGATCAAACACCATCATGATTTCGAAGCACGAGTACGTATTACACACAGTTGATGCATGATTGAGTGGTGAGTGTGGGTGGTAGTAAGATTATAACAGCATAGTCATCATCATGACAAGGTGTGGAGACTGAGGAATGCATGCGAGTGGCAATGGAATGGGATGGTGGGCACTCAAGGACATGCAAGGTCTTATGGGGTTGGACACAGACATAACACACTTTTTCTTTTCTGTTCTTTTCTTTTGGGCGTGTTGTGTGCCCATGGAAGTGGGTTATTGTGTCTGTTTGCAAGGTTTTGAATTTGGTTGTGATTTTACAAGTTGTGACATTAATTTCCACATTGTACATAAATGCACCCCTATACCAACAGAACCGTATTAAACTGTTACTTCTGTTTAGTTTTTTTACGATTTAATTCCGATTCAAGATTCATTTGAACTCAACCGTAAGCTAATTATATATAATGATAATAATATAACAAGTCACAAAACTTGTATTTGTTTTGATATTCATGTGATTGACAATGAGTTTGTTTCCACAATATATACATATATGAAAAGTAGACATATTGTTCCCAAATTCCCACGTAATATCAAAAGAGAGTTATGATTTAGAAACCGAACATTTCTTTCACGATTTGGTTCGATTCGGTTTAGTTTCATTTATCATCGATTTCGATTTTGCTTATAATTTTTTAAGAATCATTGAGAACGGTTCGATTTCGATTTAACCTAAAACTGTACCGATCAAACTGTGTGCACTCTTTACAGTCTTGACTTAACGGTAAGGCTATTTTATTATGGCTTGAAAATTACGGGTTCAAAATTAAGAACTACTTTTCCATGCTAACATAATAATGCATACATTTGATCCTTTTCTGATCCCGTAATGGCGAGAATTTCGTACCCTGTATTACATACTTAGGCAGTTGTCAACATGGTTTTAAACGGCTCCAATCTTGGTGGCAGTCCTCGTCACTGAGTAGCACCTCCATGGGATGAACCTAATGATGACAGGAAGGCTGTACTTTCTGGTTGGGATTCCATTTCCAATTTTCCAATGGTGGGGCTAATTTGTGTCCTTTGTTTCCTTCTCTGTTTTTGCTTTTGGTACTCTCTAACCTCCCCTAACAAACTGGTAGGACAAAAGGGAATTAGAATAGATACAGAAGCAAAGCCAAAGTTCCAAATCCCCCTATCTTCACTGATCATTTCATTATAATTTCCTTCTCTTTCTTTCTTTCTTTTTTTCTTTCTTTCATTTCCTTTCTCTTTTTTATTTGGAACTTTATTTTCTTTGACTAAATCTTGGACGGCCGGAAAACAAAATACCAAAAAAAACAAGTTGAATTTGTTTTGGTCCATCCATTAAAGGATTATATTATTTATGTTAAAGAAATTTGTTGACTTGGACGGCGCACCATCAATGGTGATGGGGTCACAGAACCTATCTTTAATTTATGAGGAGGTGTTTGGATATATGGACCCCACTAATCTAAGTATTTGAGAAGATCCTGTATTTTACACGGTTCAGATTGAACCACATAGTCCTCTTATTGGGTAATTTGGTTTAGACCATCCAAAAAATAGCAAATCCTCATTTCCCTATAGGAGAGGATCATAAAATATTTAGACGGTCCAGATCTTATCACACAATCCAACCACTAGTTAATTTTGACTCTCAACTTATTTGCAAACTTGAAATATGTATAATCACTCACTTAAATTGAGTGATTTGATTTAGACCATCTCAATCACCATGTAGTATAAACGTAAATTTCGCATGGTGTTGGTATAATTTTTTTTAATTTTTTTAAAAACAATGCTTAGGTTCTCTCCATACCATTCTCACTAGTGATGTAAATCAATAATAAATATACATATCATTTTTAATTACTAAATTTAATATGGTGGGTAAATACTCATTTACCAAATTACAAAGATGGTAATTTACTATTAGTCCACATCACTAATGAGGATGGTGTAGATCCTCACTAATGAAGATCTAACTATTGTTTTTTTTTTTTTTTTTTTAATTAATAAATTTTAGTTCCAATTCAAAGTTCAAATAGATCATAAAAATCAAGATCATATAAAATAAAAAATAAATAAATAAATAAATAAGAGAAAAGGTTGAAAATGATAGAGGAAGAACCAGGCTAGAAATGTCACAAATATGCCCGTGTGATCAAAGCATTTTTGTTTGGTTCCTCTGCTTTATGTGGCATGATTCTATATAATATTTGTTGTATTAACCCTCTTTATAGTTTATCCGTAACTCACCGTTGAAATTTGTACAACAGATAACATATTCAATGTGTTAAAAGAAAAGAAGAAAAATTCATCATTGACTGTTTGTGACTTATTTGATTATAAAAACAGTACGGCAAGACCCATCACTCACCTAATACTCCGTATACGTTTAAAAAAAAAATAAAAAAAAATGAAAAAACTAATACTCCATATGATATTTATAGGTTACACATCATTATCAAGTAATTTATATATAATCCAAGAAAATACCATTAGAAATAAAACTGTCACGGGTTCTCTTATGGTGTCTATCAATCCATTGTCTTGAAAGGAACCCTCACCATAAACTCATATTATTATTTTTGAAATACGAATTTTCATTGACCATATGTAAATCTCATTCTTGCGAGAGCATGAATCTAGTGCAGTACATCCAGCACAATTATTATATTGTATTAGTTGGTTCATAAGACTCACATGTATGGTTACTCACATTGCTTGCTAAACCGAGAATTCCACTTGTGAATGAATATCATATTGCGCAGGTATACTAATGACAATATGACATGGTCAAGTTCGATAATCACACCAAGGGCTACTAAGCACGTATGAACAGATTTGTAGAGGATATTTAACTCTGTTGAAGATTGAGGCAAATGGGTGCGGGAGTAAGAATGGGAGCTTAAAAGAGGCAAAATTTAAATTCTGATGTAGCAACAGAAACGAGAATGAACACAAAGTGTTAGAGCACGCTAGATTAATTAAAAAAATTATGTGGCTTAAAAGTTTGTGCCAGCCCAATACTTACCAACATAATAATGGGCTGAACATGGGCTTATGTCTTCATGGGCGGACAGGGACTCTTAAACATACAAATATTGAATGCTCTTATAAGTGCCTCTTGCACATCAACACTACTATTTCACAATTTATTAAAAATTGTGAAAATCTAAAGGATCATGAGATCTTTGTCAAATTGGGCTTATGGGCTTTATTAATGTTCAAAATTCTGGATTAACCTCCACAACATTCAATCGACTAGATCAGAACTAATTAAAATATAACCCAAAGTTTTAGAATAAATCATGGTTAATTACTCAATTCTCACCAAGATTATTAAATGCCTGGCTGCTTCTATAAGTAGTTGGTCACATGGTTTTGTCCTGTAACACCAACAGAAATTTTGAATGGGGTTGCAAATTTGCTGTGTTCACTACCTCTTTGTTTACTAGAAATTGTTAATGGATTGTAATTGAACTTTTTTCACAAGAAATTTAAATTGAATCTTACTCTGCAAATCAAATTGCCACACATTTTTGACAAGCACACAATGTCCTCGATCTAGCACTCAAATCTCTCAAACAGAGATCATAGTAAACACACTAGTAAGCAAGATACACATTAATTAGCAGCAGCGTCTCCACCCCATCAGTACTATGCTGGTTTGCAGCTGCAGGAAAGGTCTTCACCGTGGCATATCCCTTGGCATTGACATACATTCCGGTGCCACCCATTATCGCGAGCCATGATTCCGACACAGCTGTTCGATGAACTCCAAAGAAGCTGAGACTTTCGACATAGGTACCACTCAAAAACATTGCAGTGAAAGCCATGGTCTGGCTGTTACCGTCCTCTGAGCTCGAGACATAAAACCCTGGTGCCTTTCCAACTAGGCCTGACCCAAGCTCATGCCCTTCAGTGAGTTCATCATCAAACACTGTCATTGTCCCGAACATAAGCTTTTGCAGGCTCGTCCCATCAGGCAGTTGGGCACCATTCAGGACTGGAAAGTCCGGACCAACATTGATCATGTTGTTTCCGTTGTTCTGAATCACCTTAGATGTGGTACGGTACCGCCTGGGCCGGTGAGGAATGGGATGTTGTTGTTGTTGATGATGCCACTGTTGCCATTGTTTACAGGGACACCATTGTTAACCGGAAGGACTGCGCCATTAGGCTTGGCGAACGGGACTTGGCCGCTGACAGCCGGGTGAATTGGTTACCACTCCGGCCATGGCTCTGGCCTAGGGGTTGGACCCGCCAAGTATGTCATGCATGAAGAAGGACAATGTGTGGTCAGGGCCTGAATTGGCGCCCAATGCAGCATTAGTGGCAGCAGTTGGGTCAGTACCAAAGGGTGTCACACTCGGAACAGGGGTTTCAACGGCCTCAGGTGCCGTGACCGGGACAGCTAAGGAGCTGTTCTCATTGAGGTTTCGAGCTGAGGCTGCATATGCGATTGTGAGGGCTAAGAGAAGTAGTAGGGGGACTATGTGACTGAGTGGTTTATGAGTAGTCATGAGAAGATGTTAAGAGTGTTTGAGAATGAGAATGTTTGATTTCTTTGTTGCGGTGATAGTTGTTTGTGTACTTATACATAATAATATAGTAGCATGTGAATGGAAGAGCAAAAGTTTTAGAAAAATAAGATGGAGTTGATGAGATGGGGTAGGTACTTGGGTTTCCCACTTCTGGGTGTTTTGGTTACAACTTGTAAACCAAAGGCTTAATGTTTTGAATGTGGATTAGATAAAAGGGATTATAAGATAGATTTCTCTAGAACTTGTACACCAATTTAGATATATAATTTTGTCACAAAAATTATTATGTTTTGGAACCAGATGCTTAAAACAGGGATGATGGAGGCTAGGCTCTGTAATTTTAAATAACTAGTCCCTAAATATAATAATTGGTCCGGGTTTGGTAATGGCGTCAAACTGTGGGGCATTAAATAGCAGCAAAAACTCGCAAGGGTCCGCTCTTGATTGTATCAAACCAAATCGTAAAAAATGGTTCGATTTGGTTCTCTACGATTTTGAACTTTTTTATAGTTTTATTTTCCCAACTTTTTTATACTTCAATTCAATATATATAAAAATTAAAATATATATTATAAATAATATAATATTTTATCATGTATTATATAATATATAGTTGAGTGGTTAATGAGTAATGATTTATTGCTGATGCTCACAACATACTTTCTCCGGGCCAAGCATGATAACTGTTACATATGATTTAAGTGTAAAAGAGATTAGTAGGAAAAATAAAAAATAATCATATCCCATAGTTGCCATGTTTGGTGTGGATAAATTTCTTATTTAAGAATGAACAAAGGTCATTTAAGTAGTTAAAAAGCTAATCTTATTATTTTATTATATAAAATATGTAAATCTACATATATTTATATAAAAGTTCATGTTTGGTCTTGCATGACCTCACACCGGAATTGAACGGTTTACAAATAATTTTTTATTTTTGGAATCAAGATCGGATCAAATCGTAAAAAAAATTGAACCAACTCGACAAGTTTGGTTTTGTTGGATTCAATTTACGGGTTCAACTGCTCTTTTTACACTACTAATATATATCACCAAACTACTGTATTGATGACTCCACACAAATTCAAAACGTTCTATCAAGCTTGGCTCCTTTAGAACGGACACTAAATCGAATTATCCTTCAAAACCGACATTAAATCTAATTGTGAACCAATCTAATCAAATTGACTAGATTGGTTTTATTCGGTTCGATTTATTAATTCAACCATTCCCCCTTAACATTTAATATGTCTCATCACAACAATTATAAGGTCCAAAATGTAAATTGATTTGATCTGATTCTGATTTATTAATTCAATCATTCACTTTTATTAGTCAATGTCTCATTATAACAAGTATAATGTCCAGAATGTATGTTACACGAGGACCACTCCATAAAGTCTCCCAGAAGATTGAAAAGTTTGAAAAGTATTGGGGAGAGTTTTAGATATTTGTAGAGTAGATAGAATGTTCTAAAATTGCAGAAAGAATGGTTTGGAGGCCTATATGTATAAGATGTCCAATGAAATGATCTATAATTTCACCTATGGTAATCACCTATATCATAGACTTCATATTGGTATTTGTATTTTTTTTTTCTTTTAGAATTAAAATAACAAAATAAAAAGACTAAATTTGTACACCCCATTTTGGCATTTTGTACAGAAAAATCACTCCTTTTTTATAAAACTAATTTTTTTAAATGGGATGGGAAAAGAGAATAGAAAATTTTAAACAAAAAAAAATTTAAAATTTTAGATTATACAATCAAAGTTAGGACCTTCCATAAAAATTGAATGAAAAAGAAAAAAGAAAGGAAAAGTGCAAAAAGCCCATTTTTGTTTTTTTAAACGGATTGGTTCTCCTCGAAAATGATCTTCCAAGTCTTTTATGGTTCTAAGAGTTTTAAAAGAAAGAATCGAACTAGGAACAAAAAAAATGAGTTATCCAAAGCATTCTATATATTAAAAAAGAATACTAATAGAACTTTGAAAAATTAAATTTAATTCTATTATTTAGATTGAAAGAAGTAAATGATTCTAGCAAAAAATAAAAAATAAAAAAATAAATAAAAAATCAACAATCAACAATCAACAATTTATGAATCGTTTATAGTCAAATTCAATCTACGAATTGGATAAATTATTCACTTAACATAAAATCATATACTGTTTGATGCCAATCATATACTGGTTTTGTATATTTATAAATCCCTCACTAATAAGCTTTGATAATGTCTCATGTGCAAAAACCCATAAAGCAAAATTCCAGTTACCATTATAACAAAAATCCAAAAACTGAAATCACACAATTTACCAAAATCCATTCCAAGAACCACCAAACATAAAAAGGAGGACAAAACCAACCCAATCCTATACGAAGCTAACACGAGCATTATTGATGAAAAGAAAAGAAAGCTCAGGGCATTCTCAATTTGGTGGGGGGAAGAAGATGGCATCTGCATTTCTCTTGGAGGAAAATTGCTTCTGCACATCCGGAGTCACGTCGAATGAAGCCTGGAGAACTTGAGGAGACAACGCCTTCCAGCATGAAATACTTCCTGCTAGATGGGTAAAAACAGGACTGCAACAAACAAATCATCAATGTCATTTGGTGTCAGCATGAACTTAATACCAATATTAAACAAAAACCGATAAAAAACTTACTTGGGAGTGGTGATGATAGAGAACCACTCCAAGCCATCAGTATCAGCAATCTTTGAAACCACAAAGAACCTCGGCACAATGAACAGATTACCAGCCTTTATGGTTGTTTCCAAGACGCGTTTGCCATCAACACCGACAACCTGAACACGGCCACTGCCCCTAACAATGTAGGTCACCTGCAGTGCCGAGTCGCAAGAGAAGCCGGGAGAGCACATGGCACTCCCATCCAACCTAACAAGATCGGCCCCAAGCCCAACCTCACCAACCAAAGGCAAGTTCTTGGTGTTCAGCACAACCACCCTTCCACCTTTCTTAATGTCCACATCAAGTGGAGCTTCCTCACAGTTCAATGCCATGCCAACGCGGTGTTCCTTTTTGGGCTCAGGCATCTGAAAGCCATCTTCAAGCTTGACAATGCCATTGCCTGATTGCTTTCCAACAAGCGTCTTCACAACACTTTCTTCCAAGTCCCACGCCCTGCTCACAAACTCGGTTGAGAAACCGGTGAAGATGCCATTTGATCCGGTGAGAAAGAAATCGGTGAATGAGCCAGTCTTGTGGGCCTTTGAGGTATCACCCAAGAAGAGGACCACGAGTTCGGTGTCCTCCTTGTTGTACCACCATGTAACAACACCAAAAGGGAGGGCAATGGCATCGCCCTTCTTAATTGCAACTACCTTCTCCTCTTGTTCAGGAAGAATAATTCCAGTAACACCACTGCCTAAAGAAGGCAAACAAACAATCAAATAGACATAAGTTAGCATAAGAGATTAAAACATAAAACAACAATAAGTTAGCATAAGAAAAGTATTTGACAAATAAATGAAAATATTTGACAAATAAATTAAGCTCAACCACGAAAAAAACCAATCCATCAAATGATAAACAAATAAAATTGCAGAAGACACAATCAAGATCATCACACATAAGAACAACACTTAGATCATCACACATAAGAACAACACTTGACCCATGTATGTTCACTCCCCAAAGTCACCCCCTCCTATCAACTTGATGCTGGAAGAATATATAGAAAGCACTTCTTAAACAAGACAGCCAAAATAATTATTCTATCCTGAATAAATTTTCAATTATATTTTCAATCCAAATTAATAAATAAAAGTCATAAGTCCAAATCCAAATTCAGTTCCAATTGCACCAATATATCAAAAACAAACTAATCTAACAAATATATGAACATAATTCTGGATGTATATATGATCGGAAACAAACCAATTGATATTCAATAGGCTTAACCCTAAAAATTTTGAACTTCAAGAGTGACTTTCGAAAAAGTAAAACTAATAGAAATTGAAGGGACATGAACCATTCAAAAAAGCAAACCAAACCACTTGAAAATAAATGATTAAATTAACAAATCATCTTAATCAATTCTCAAATATAATACAACACCATACTGCCTGAGAAATCTAGAGATACAAAATAACATGTAATAAAATACAAAAATTTAAACTAACAGTAAATAAACAGCATGTATGTAAACAAATATAAATATATATACACATGTATATAGATGCACAATCTCATCTAAAGCATCAAGGGGCTTCCACAACCCACAATCAATCATTTAAAAAACGAAAAACAAATCACCACAGCAAACCCATATAAAAAATCTACACAATAGCTACAAATAATCATCAAATAAAATTGAATAAAACTAGAATATGACCTATCCATGTATATGAGTGGTGTATCAGTATACATACCTTGAAGAACATAAGCGACCTTGGCAGAATCAGAGTAACGAGGGAGGGCGAAGCCATTCTTCTCAAGAGCGAGCTTAGATGCGCCTATGTTGCCTTCCTTCAACATGGCCAGTTCATTGGGACACCATGCGTAGTAAGAACCCCCATTCCCTCCGTACAACTTCTTCGCCAATCTTGGTGATAGATCAATCTCCATGTCTGTTTCTCTCTTCCAACTCACAAAATCAATCAATCACAGAAAAAAAAACCCAAAAAGACAACGAAGAAAGAAAAACGATTAGAAATTCTGAAGTGAAGTAAATGAGAAGAGGGTTGGTCTGTATTTATAACTATAGGCAAAGATGATTGAGTTGTATTAGGAGTGTAATTGGTAACAGAAAAGATTTATATGTATTGATATTCCAGATATATTGAGATTATCTCGAATTAACTTTAGAGGGAATTTTTTTATTTATTGGATAAGGTTATTTAGAGGTGTCCCTACAAGTCAAAATATGTCTACTAATTAATTACACATTATTATTATTATTATTATTATTATCTCCTTCATTTGCGAATTATCCGCTTAGTAAACAATGACTCATATAATCAATTATTCAGAATTTTCAATTAATGAGAGCAATTAATGGGGTCACAACAACACTCAATTACTGAGACATTAATAGGGTCGTCATAAAATTACATGAACACCCTTTTATTAATTTTTTACATAATCAATTAGTAGGAGTACTTTATATATATATATATAAATTTTATCTGTAGAAATCATAATTGGATTCTTTTCCATTACCGATTAGAAGTTCTTATTAGTGACTATTTATGAATTACTACTCCTTAGTCATGTTAGAAGTCTGTGTATTTTTTTTTTTCCTCCAAGTTCTATACTTTTTTATACTTAATCCTACATAATTCTTATTTTTACTATTGTTTCTATCGGGATGTGAGAATTAGAATTTTATTTAAAAAATGAAGGAGAAAAAGAAAGAAAACTAAGAAATGGTTCCCATATAAATAGCATTACTGTTGGTTGCATATTTGTAGGATTGAATTGATAGAATGGAATTCCTTTTCTAATTTAAAAACAATGATATTCATTGTAGTGGGTATCTTTTTATTGGATATTTAAGTTGTCCGCACACGTCAAACTATGTCTACTAATTATTTAGAGATTAATTATTTTTATATTTTTTATAATTTTTTTAATGTTTTAGTTCACAGTTTTTTCAATTAATGGGAGGAATTAATAGGGTCACCACAAAATCACATGAACAACCTTACATTGATTTTGTCTATAATTAATTAGTAAGAATATTTTTTGACTTTATTAATTAAGAGAATCTTTCATTTTAAATGAGAGAAGTTTAAGGTAATAAGATTTATTATTAATCTGGAAATGGTTGGAACCAAAGTTTTAATTTTAGCAAAACATACCAGTCCTATCTATAGCATTTTCTTTTATCTACATCATCTGAAAATCTTAATCCTACATTATGCGAAAGTAAAACTTAAGTAACACAATTCTTCTCATGAGTAGTTATTTTCACACTCTCATTTTATGTGACTTAAGCTAAAACACTGTCTAGATACAAGTCCCATCTGTAGATTAAAATATTCTTTAATCTACATCATCTAAAAATCTTAATCCTAAACAATTTTAATTTTTTTATTTTGAAAATATTTTTTTATATTTCATTTTGAAGGAATCATGACTTTGTATTTTTATTTTTATTTTTTTTTCCCGATAAGGAAGCATTATGGCTTTGTAAATATTGTCATAGTGAAAAAAAAATATGATAAAAGAGAGGATATTTATTATAAAAAAGGCCTTCATACATTGAGCATTGGGATGAAATTAATTAATTTTTTCTTTTTCTTTCTTTTTTAAACAAAAGAACATTAAATTTAGTATAGTTTTGAAAAGATACAAATTTTGTTTTCGAAGTCTAAATCTTAATAGAATAAAAGAACCGACCAATGGCTCATGACATAAATGGAAAATATTTATTTATTTTTTTATTTTTTGGATAAGGAATAAATGCAACAGTATTGTCATCACGGAAGATGATGAGCTCATGATTCGTAAACCATATCTAAAATAAATCAAGTTTGTTTAATCACCATAAACATTGGTTTCAGTCCAACTTTTGGATGGTTGAGAACCTTGAGAGCCTTTTTGACAACTTTAAAACCTCAATAAGAAAAAGAAACAAAAAAAAAAAACAGAAGTGAAATTAATGTTGTTTTTTTTTTTTTTTTTTTTTTTTTTTTTTAACAAAAGAACATTAGATTATAATGAGATGCCTAATAAAGCTAATTCCACCAAGAATTGTTAAGAATCTTGAGAGCCTTTTTGAGAACTTTAAAACCTCAATAAGAAAAAAAAAAAAAAAAAAAAAAAAAAAAAAAAAAAAAAAAAAGTGATTTATAATGAAATGCCTAATAAAGCTAATTCCACCAAGAATTGTTTCTATCTTATTCCTCTAACTGGATTTTCGTGCCAGCACGGTTTTAATGCAATGATTTTACTGACTCAGTAATTCTTATACAGTGAATTTTCAGCCATTATTTATTTCAAGAAATTTAGGACATGTTTGGCTCAGCTTCCAGATAAAAAAAAATTCATTCACTAGAAAAGTTTTTGCACGGTTTTGCTATATTCATATCTTAATTTTAATTTTAATTTAATTTATTTTTATTTTTGTAAAACAAGAAGAAGATTTATTTACTAAAATAATTCATAGTTGACAATTTTACCCTTTATTTTCTATATTCCCTGTACTGACTATAACAATTCATAAAAATTAACTTACAGAGGGAAAAGATTTCAGTACAAACAATAAATATTGATGCTAACATAAAATCATCCTTAAAATTAGGAAAGATCAACCAAGCACCATCCGGCTAAGCAAGACCTGCATTTCTAAGAACTTGCTTAGGGGCTAAACCTAATATAAAAAAGAATATGTATAATTTAATACATTGTAATTTCTCTCTCCAGTACACAACCAAACATGTTTTAAACTGCGTAAAAAGACCATCTCGAGCTGACAAGCTTTGTATTCTAGGGTTCCAGATGTGAGGCACCTTTTCTGTCCCCAAAGGGAACTACATTCTGAACAAGTCAAAATGTAACTTTAACAGATTACATTATACATATTCTTTTTTCTTTTTCTTTTTTTCATATTGTTAGAAAAGAAAAAATATATATAAATAAAATAAAACAAAAAACAAGAAAAGCTCATGTTTGTGGCTTCAGATAGTTTATACCCCTGTTAAAAAATAGGGGAAAGGGGTCATATATAACTAAATTCTACAGGCGGATGATTCAGACTTGAGATGGATCCACTGGCATGCAGTGATGTCTGTAGTTCAGCAGAGCCACTCCCATCCAAGTCAATCACCGCATCTCAATGCAGCCACACACTTGCAAATACAGCTGCCTATTCGCTAAGTGTACCATCCTGCATCAGGGTTTTCCCGTCAGCGGACTAGACTCTCCACTTTCCAATTGTTCTGAAGATGGAGGCTTCGGGGGTTTATTTTTCATGAAGCTCTTTGCATAAAGGGAACCGAAAACAATAACCTGATTAATGAAACAGAGTCATTTAATTGAGATTTTGAATATTCAAAACATGTGTGAGTGTGTGCGAGTGAGCTTGTGCATGGAGGGATTGAGGTAAGGGGGCTTACAGCTCCAATGAACTGCTCCCAGCTGAGGGGGTGGGCAAACCACACGCATGACAGCAGAATGCTCACCAACTTTATCAACAACAAAAATTTGAAAGGGCACCCTTAAATTAGTAGTTTAAATGTGAAGAACACAACAGTGAAGCTAAAAAAAAAAAAAACGAAGAAGAAGAAGAAAAGAAAAGAAAGAAAAACTCATCTTTTACCTGTCTTGTAGTCATTATGGTCGCAAATGTTAGAGCACCAAATGTGCGAATTGTGTAAGAAATGAAGAATTGACTAGCAGTTGCTACCTGCAATGAAAATCAAACACGAAACATTAGTATTATTATCATTTTGGGTTGTGGAAGGGAGATGTCCTTTGTTCTTCAGCATGAGAAGGATATAGCTGTAATATTATTGATAAGATATGTAGAAGACTCATAAAAATCACTTACAGTAGATAGCAGTGCAATGTCAAAGAAACAATCACTATGGCGGGAAACAAAATCTACTGCCATAAGAAGATGCCCCTGTAATATTAGACCTGAATAAAAACGAAGGCAGCCAACAGAACTGGTAATTAGGCACCAAAATGCAACACACCTTGGAAGATACAACAGACGCCGACACATGGAAAGTCAGTTCAAGGAAAAACATAAACTAGGACTACACACCTACTCAGACAAAGAAGATTTTTAAACAATATTATGAGAGGCAGACATTTAAAAAATACGCAAACTTTAATCAAAATGTATGCGCCATCAATATTAATGTGAATGGCACATGCCTTTATTCATATTGACAAAGAAGAGGAGGGAACTGTCATCATTTTGTTGTTATGTTTGAGAAACAATATTTAGCCATCAATAACACTTTCAATCATGAGTTACCACGTATCAACCAGAAGATGTAAAACTTTATGCCTTCAAACACATAATTTTTCTTAACTTTGAGATATGATCATGTTAGAAACAAAACTTAGGTTTTGCCCCTCCAGGGATATCAACCATGCTTTGGTTCCAGGGCATGTCAGGGAGAGAAAATTATATATTGTATCGAGGATTTAAATATTAGGTGGATATAAAATCGAACACCTTTCAGCACGGTAGAAATGCTGAGAAAGAGGTATTGTTCTGCATATCTTCTATGAAATTCAATTAATTGGTTTCAAATCTAGAGAGAAGAAGTTCAAGCAAAGTCACAATTTTAAATCCTTGTATGGGTGCTATCTCTTGTTTTGAACTTCATAAGATCAATTCCACATCCTCAGTGACCAAAATTTGATCGAAAGCTGAACTTCAAAACATTGATCTTAACCATATACAATGAATTGATAAATAGTAACAAACTACAAAATGCAGTCCCCTTTCATGTCTGAGGCTAGTAGAAGAGTGAATTTTCAATCATCAAAGGGAAGTAATGGTTCAGTCTGTTTAGAGTCCTAAAACTCATAATATGTATCTTTATATATAGAGATATATATTCAGGAAAAAAAAATAAAAAATAAAAAACTCATAATATATTGAAAGAATAGTACAAAAACAACATATCCATAATGCTTCCACATATAACGACACCTGCAACATTGTCTTTTAACAACCAGAATGAAGAAATATCATTCAAGATTCTACCGAGATGACAACAACCAGATAAATTGCTCAGGATACCATGATAACTATGAGATTCAGATAAAGATGGGGAACATACCAGTCAAGCTGAGTAAACAAGAACATAATGTTGTATAGAATATTTGATTATGTATTTCCATATCATAGCCTCTAAATAGTTTATCCTGGAATGTGCTTGTAAAGCCATCAAACCTGATACATTAAAAAAAGCATCTGAATGCATGAACATATCAATTGGAAAAGCAAATTAATAGTAAAATGTAAAATCTTCAAAAGATGGTAAAAACAATGAAATAGTTATATATACAAAGTATACAGCTAACAAAGAAAACATTTAACCATAAAACACAGCTACTGTAAGCTTCAAACACAGTTCAGAAGCTCACACATAATAATTTCCCAATATTATACAAGGGATTAACAGTTTTAACTATTGCCACTTACTAAGCATATAAAGGAATATAATTGAGGTATGAAATAATCAAAAAGAAAATAACAAGGGGAAATGAGCTAGGAATCAATACCCAAGGTAACCAAGCATTAATGAAACGCCCCAAACTGTGCTTTCCCTTCCTCTATTATATGGATTAATGTCACCTGCTGCCTACAATCAAATGCAAAATATAAATGTGTGGTTAATGTCAAAATTTTACCACAAACTAATACAGGGCAAATGCATTGACAACAGCAACATTTGAGTGGACCCTCTAAAAACTTATATTTACAAATAACATATTTATTCTTTTCTTTGTGAATGCTATTGATAAGGTTCAATCACTTCCTTTTCCGAAATTTCTTGCAATATGTTTTTTTACATATTTATAATTTCATTAGAAGTATTAATGTCAGATATAGTAGAAAAGGGACAAAAAAGATTCCACACCCTAGATAATTTAATCCTGTTGATTGCTTATTGTTTAGTAATTGTTCAATTGTTTGCCAAACAATTATTGTTTAATTATTTATGTTGATTATAATGCATAAAATGTCACCTAAATGTCCATTTTTTAAGGGTGAAGAAATCAACACCCCTTTGATTTTGCAATTGCCGGCATACATACAAGAGAAATAAATAGTTTATTAACACAATTGATTGGCCGATTATATAATCGAAGACACGCCGTATGAGAAGAAAAAAATCTTTCACTAATAACAAATTTTCTTCTGCAAATCTATGTATGCACTCACGGAATTCTATTAAAAAACTGTTCTAACAATTAATATTATATTAAGATATTTTTCGTAATTTATTAATTCATATGTAATACAATTAACCATCAATTATTCACCATCAAATCAGACTGGTTCCTCCAATTTATTTAGTTCTTTAAAGTTAATTAAGTCACTCCCAGCACCCATTGTAGGAAAGACCAAGATGGCAACACCGGGTAGTGGCCTTTTTAAAGTTAATTAAGTTATAGACTTATCATCGGATCAATCTGTACATGAAAACATTAAGCATATAGTTGACACTCATCACCAGCATTTGGAGTGCAACAATTATTGGACATGCATGAACAGCGAAAGCACTGAAACCAGTCAGGTAATACAAGAACAGAACCATATTTTTACCGGGTACAAAATGAATATTGCACACCCGAGCATCACTAGAAAAGCCAACATATAGTCAGGCATCTTGTATCTCTTTTGCATAATGACAGTGCTCCAAAGCTGTACGATTCACAGAAAATGAACAAATTTAAAGTTTAATACAGAGTTCGTAACAATAAAAATAAAATTCGCAGCCCAAAATGGAGAAAAACAAATTCTCATTATGTGAATATCGATATATCAAATATGATATCATCTACCAATCTCATGTTCTCTCCAAATTCTCATTAGTTAAGCTACATTGTTGACCATCACAAGATCTAACTAAAGAGTAACTGCAAGAAGTTTAAAATGATAGCATCTACAGAAAAAGGAAAAATAAAGATGAAAGAAACAATGACCTCACATGAAAGTGAACAAATAGCTTTACCAGCATATCTATCCAAAAAGCAAAATTATTCTTGTCTAATAACGTCTATCCTGGTGTACACCAATTCAAGTATGCAAATGTAAAAGCTTAGCATTCAGAAAGTTCAAAATAAAGAGGATATGAGACTCGCTGTAATCATGATGACTGACGCTTCAGATTGATATCAACAAAGGCTACACTTAACAACAATGTATATCACTAGAAAACCGTTGATTTTTAGTCTTCAAAATCCTTAGATTCCAAAACTTTCTACGACTTAACGTTTGTGTATGTATACTATTATAAATCGAGGACCTCTATTGGGGTGTTGAAGCTCTGTCGTACTTCTCTTTTCAAAAGACAACTTATTTTATTTGAAAGAAAATACATGCTTCTTTTAAGAACAAACTAAATTTGAATATCTGACTTTATTAGTGTTTTAGAGAAAGTGGGAGAAGTGCTTAGAATGGGAGACGGATGATGATGCTGTGTGTGTGGGTGTGTGTGTGTGAGAGAGAGAGAGAGAGAGAGAGTAGGGGAAAAAGAGGTTATTAGTGAGAGAAATCAAAACGCATTTAATTAATTAAAATTCAAAAATGTAGAAAAATAAAGATAAGGTGAGAGAAAGATCACATGCATTGACCTAAAAGGCTTTCTAATCTCCTTTAAAAACATGCAATCACCCAAAAACCAAATGCATTAGGAATTCTTCGACCTAAAAGGCTTTCTAATCTCCTTTAAAAACATCCAATCACCCAAAAACCACATGCATTAGGAATTCTAAGGACAGGTGAACCTGAAACGTCTGGTCCTTGAACCATCGCCTCCGCCACCTTCGTGGGTTTGTTATCATGTCATCTGCAGAGGACTTCTTTTTTATTAGGAATTCTAAGGACAGGTGAACCTGAAACGTCTGGTCCTTAAACCATCGCCTCGGCCACCTTCGTGGGTTTGTTATCATGTCATCTGCAGAGGACTTCTCTTTTATTGATAAGCCTGTCATCTGCAGAGACTTCTCCATATCCTCTACGCAGGGACGAACCCAGAAAATTATGTGAGCGGGGGCGGCCTTTAACAATATCAAGATAAAAAAAATTCAAAGCATTGAGTGGGGTCAATAGTGAAATTTTCCTATAATTCCAGTGGGGGCAGTATCAAAATTGTATAGGTATGTAATCCAATTATAAAATAAATAAAGAAGAAGAAGTAGGTATATACGTGTCCTCCAGTACCATTGTATTACAGATTCGACGTTTGTATTATAATTTTTGAACTAAGGGTTTCTTAGATTTCAACTGCCACATTTAGAATTGTATTAGTTGAGAAAAGTAAATTGGAAATGAAGTGATACCGAAAGCATCTTCACAGGACAAAGAGGCAGTAGAAGATAACAAGGGGTATACCTTAATTGGAAAACTAAGAGAAGTGAGAAGAAAAAGAATGTTATAACAACAATAATCAGCTATCATCTTCTAAGGAATAATCACAAGAAAAAAAGAGTAGCACATATAGAAATATAAAGATAGAAAAAACTAATATTTTTTAAGAACAGCAGCTGTGGCAACGAGCAATTAGATTGTCAAAACTAACAACGAGCAGTACAATACAAAAGGAATTCTGTTCATTGGGAAATTAGAAAAGAACATATATAGTGACTACCATTATCAACCGATGACCACACAAGATTAACTTACCATCACAGGTATCATTTTGGCACATTTTGCAAGTGTCTGAACAGGAAAGCTGACATATTTAAGGGCCTGGAATAATCAGTTGGGGTCAATGAAAAAATTAGTGCAACAATTTATCATTGCTTATCAACTGTCAAGCAAACTCTTTCTAAGCAAAGTTCTAATAGAAATGAAGAAATTCTCTTTTTTCTCTCTGGAAATTCATTGTAAAAAACACTGAAAATACACACAGTTTACCTCATACTGGCATGTTGTGGTTAGTATGTTTGTTACTGATATAAGGCAATACTTATAAACTGGAGCAACAGGGTCCAATGCTTTTTTACTTGCCTAGAGAAGAGAAAATATTGATCTAATAAAAAATATAGTTTAACAATGGAATTCCAAATAAATCTTATTAAAGTGCATTGTGTGTAGAATGGATAGGAAAACACCATATGGCGCATAAAAAAATTGTTTAATTACCAATAAAGACCCTGCAGAGACCGCTGATGTTGTAATGCGATTGCAGAAAACAAGGAATAATGAGTACCTAAAAAATTCTTTGTTTGGTCCATATGGAACTCTCATGATTTTCTCCTGCACGATATAAATTTTTATGAACATATTTAAGAGATACGACACAAGTATTGGCATGCCTGAGAATACTATAACAACTAATCAAAAACTAAATAAATGGAGAAGGAAGAGCAAATTGAACAACAATAAAAACAACCCATGGAAGGCAATTAAACTCTGAAACATTGATGTTGCATGGACATGGTTATGTGCGTCAGGTGTAAGCATGTGCCTAAGTGTCAGATTTATCAAATTTCCAAAACCAATGATATGGGGATAGGGTTTAACATTAATTTTTTTTCAATATTCTTCATTTATTTTCTAGGGTAATGTGGTCTTTTCATCTGATATAGAATATTTAAGATGGACATTTTACTTGTTTTGAAGCAATAATGTAACCAAAAAAAAAAATTTATAGTAAGAAAGTTTTGTATATAAGTATACCATAAACTTGAACAATCAAATATGCTAGATAGGTGCATTTCTTAGCAGGCATGTAGGACGTACATCTTATTCCCCATAACTAGGTGTTGTGTGTCTAGCATGGGTGAGAAACCATGAAACAAGTCACTACAACCATTTACCATGTTTACTGTAAAAATATAAAATAAAAAAAATCAACAGCCGGTGACAAGTCACACATAATAAGAAATTAGAAGGCCATATGTCCCTTCATGCACTTGTAAGTGAAAAAACAAAGGTGAACCAGTTCAGCACCTCTTTTGTCATTTTACAGTTCCATATTCTCAGACAGTTTAAAACAAATTACATACCATAGTCGGACACAAGATTAAATGAGACACATCAAAAAACGCCATTTGACAGTTGAATGCCTATAATGAAAAAATATATATACACACTATTGTACACATAAACAAGAATCGTGCCCAACAAAAAATAAGGAACACATTCCCATATCACTATTATGTCACCTGGGGTACCTTTCCCAAATGCTTCAACGTTTCATGACAATATCAAAAAGGTGAGTAAAGTACCCTGTCAGAAATCCTATATTATATATTCACTTCATTGTAACCAAAGATATGGAAGAAAATTAGGAAGTTTGAAAATTCAGACATGCCTTGAGCAGCAAACTTGGAGACAAATCTTCGCACCCAGGAAGAGTGAGTTCCCTTGTAATAAGTAAAGAAAGTAACTGATCAAGAAAGATGATCAAAGCCAATTCTTCGACCTTTTTAAAATCGCCTAGCCCAAATCAAAGGCACATTGTAAGGTGCAAATGCTCCTGTGCATCTTAAGGATCCTCATGGCATACAGTGTAGCCTCTACAAGTCAGATGAATACAAAATTAAGCCCTTCATTTTTGCTTCCTATAGAAGCATCATAGCTTTTGATCAATTAGATTATGGGTTAGGAAACAAATCAAATTTAAGTCAGTCTCAGACTCTCAGTGCCAATGTCTCCATTTCCAAGACACCTGAATTAAATAATTCTTCATCCCAACAACAACCACCTTTTGACTACAATTCTTATCATCCAACACACTCACTGGGTTAAGCATACAACCATATGGACATAGGAAAAAGGAAAGAAACAACAAAACAGGTCTAACACAGTAGAAGTTACATTACCCCGGGGGGGGGGGGGGGGGGGGGGGGGTGGGCGCGCCATGGAATCTTAAATCCACATGGTAAATTAACAGAGCAATAATAAAAGTAATCTTAAATCCACTAGGCAAACTACAGAAAACTCCTAATAGTATTAGTATTGGCAAAACCAATTAACACTTATTTTTGTTTTTTTCCCTTGGTGTATATATAGGCCTGTAAAAGTTGGAATACAAGTAATAAGTTGCTTAAAAACACTCCTAACCAATACAGCAGCCTATAATAACACAAATTCAACTGCAAGTATAAGACAAAAACTAGTTAAAAAATAGAAATCAATAAATTTGTAAAGAAATCAATAAATTTGTAAAGAAATCAAAAGAACAAAATAAAAATTACAGATCGTGTACACTGTCCTGCATCACACAAATTGTAATTACTAGGTTTTCAAAATGGAAGTTTCTCTTTTAACAAGAAAGTGAACATTTAGTTCAATTTCATCCAATAAAATAAAAAAATAAACATAAACAAACAAACAAGATCATCCAAATCGCAACTAATTAGTTCGCAAAATTAGGAGATAAGATGACATTTATTGACCTGTAGAACGCCATAGATAAGGAGGGTAGACATGATCCCAACCACGGCAAAAACCCCTTTCCAGAACTTGTTATCTTTCAAGGCCGGTGACGGTGGTTCCGCCATATCCCATCCAAGTCACCACCGCCTCTCTTCTCCAAGACACTCACAGCATCTATAAACATCACAAGTTCCAAAACAAAAAAAATCAATACAGAAAACAAATATACATGTATATTCGTGTGTGTAAATATATATTCGTGTATGTATAAAGAAAAGAAAAAAAATAAATAAACATCGGCAAAGAATACATAAAAGGACCTACACCAGAGAAATATATATCGATTCTAGCGGGTATTCGAAGCTCAGATCACCGGGAAACTGAACGCCGGTTGATGTAGGGTAGGGACAGAAAATTTGTAATCCAAGACCTTGGGGGAAAGAGAGAGAGAAGAGGAGGAAATGTTAGAGAGAGAAGGTCATAGAAGTGAGGGGTGAGAGAAGAGTGTCTTAAAGTCATAGAGATCACGGTGAGTCAGTGGACTCGGTTTCGCCGGCGACTTTGTCTCTCTCTCTCTAGGTTTCGCCACTCGCTCATTGCGGCCACGTGAGCGTCCAAAAACGTCGAGGTGGGTCCCAATGCGAAATTTCTCATTGGTTTTGGGTGCCAGAAAGTTTGTTCTATTTTTCGGAATGGAGCGCATGATGTAAACAAGCAATGGTCTAGGTCGTTGATATGGTCAACGGAATGTATTGAAGAACGCAAACTAGGGATTTGATTTAAGTAGGGAAATTAGGTCATTCTGGTTAAGTTAAAATGACGTTGTCAGAGAATAGAAGGAACTATCTGGATTTTGTTAACTGAAAATAATTTTCAGCATTCTGAAATTCCTTATAGTATGGTTGAGTAGTTTATACATTAATTCGGCCGGCCATGACTTATTTGTTGACTGCCTTAATTGTGGAAATATAGAGGTATTGTTTATTCAGGAATTGGTATGAACAATGATTCATTTATTGGTGTTTTTAAAATTAATTTTTTATTATTATTTGATTTACATTGTTTTATGCATCTCACATAGGTTTGGTATTTTGTTCCTGTTGGCACCAAAACTTGGCAACCATCTCAGCGATGCGTGGACCAATAAGGAGCGAATAGGTATTTCTAATATAGAGTCAAGGGGATCGGCCAATTTAAAAATATTATGAGCAAATATAGGAAGATATATTTCAGCCATTTAATGGATATGATAGTTGTTGAAATATAGCAACTCACACTTTTTTCAAAATGGGCGTTAACAAAAAATAAAAAGGCTAGAGTTTGGATGAAACTCAATAACTAAATTCCTATAAAATAGGAAGTTTAGTTAGCTGAAAGAAGAAAAGCTTTGGATTCCTATAAAATAGGAAGTTTAGTTAGCTGAAAGAAGAAAAGCTTTGGAGACATGTATAGAAGGAAAGCTTTGGAGACATGAAGTGAACAAATCTAATTGTGACAAGTGGCCTTGACATGGCGCTAAAGGATGGGCCACTTGGGATAGAACACGGCTGCCAAGTTTATAAAAGGAAGTTGCTAGAACTTAGCAACTTTTCAGCAACATTCTAGCAACTTACATTTGACTAGCTCAAAGAGAGTTTTCAATAAGAATTTTCCTATTGAAACAAGGAGCAAGACCAGATAAGAAGCAAAAGAATATTGGATTTTGACCTAGTTTGAATAACAAAGTGAAGAAAATCAAGGGAATGGGAGATTTTATAGTAAGAAGTTAGGAAAATAAGTTGAGAAAGAATTCTATAAATAGGAAAGATGTAATCCTATTCCAATGGTCCAGCACCACCACAAAACATGCATTTCAATTAAAAATGTTTTCAATTGACTCTACGACATCAATTTCTTTATTTCAATTTAATGGCAATTGATTAGATCCTTGTCAACTATTTCGATTCAGCCATTTACTTTCTTTTAATTTCAATTATGCCAATTTTAATTACGCAATCTTAAGTTAGGCTTTCAATTCAATGGCAATTGATTAAATTATTGCCATTGAATCGTAGTGACAATTGATTAAATTCTTGTCGTTACTTGGCTGATGGCAATTGATTAAATTCTTGCTATCACGTTTCAGTGGTGATCGATTAAATTCTTGCCATTGTGTTTGGTTGGTGGCGATCGATTAAATTCTTGCCATTGTGTTTGGCTGATGGCGATTGATTAAGTTCTCGCCATCACGTTCGGCCGGCGATCGATTAAGTTCTTGCCGCCTGTCTTCACTCGGCCATTCCATCCATTCAAACATTCATTAGTCGTTGCATTTCTTTAGACATTCTAAAAAGTCTTTGCTACAAACAAGGCATAAAAGAACCTTGCTGGGAGTTCTTACTAGTCTCTCTCCCACACAATCGCCTGAGAGTCAGCTATCGGAAAAAGGATAAGCTGGTGTTCAATTACATATTTTGGGTATTTTGTACAAATACTCTGGCACGCTCGCGAAAAGTCCATCGACCGGCGTAGGGAACAAAAAAACCGCGCGAACAGTTCCTAACATGGGATTATTAGATATGCTAGGTGTTACAAGGGGAGACTTGTCCCACATCGGATTCGGATGGGAAGTGACATGGGTATAAATGGGTGGGTATGCAGCACTATCCAATAGTTCAAATTTTTGAGTAAATGGGTAAGCGCTCACCCGTTACAGTTGGTATTAGAACCAGACCCAATCCTTAATCCGGTGCCACGCCAAGTGTTTGGCCTGGAAGGGGTCCGGGTGAGTCACCCCAGGTAGGCAGGGTGGCCCGACCGCAACGAGAGCGTTGCAAGTTCGGGTGGGGGAGAATGTTACAAGGGGAGACTTGTCCCACATCGGATCCGGATGGGAAGTGGCATGGGTATAAATTGGTGAGTATGCAGCACTACCCAACAGTCCCACCTATTACACTAAGATATGCCGGATTAATAATAATGTATTTTTAAAAAATGTTAGTCCATTTATTTATAAAATTATTGATAACGTATATTTGATTGAGTAATTATACTTAAGACGTAATGTCACGTGTTTGGCGCACCTAATATCTCCTAAAATTAGAGGGTTTAATATCTTGCATGTTACTCCATCCATCCCAAAAATAACTCTCTCCCTTCCCTATTAAATTTTCATGTTTTGTTTTTAAAGTTTTAAAGGGCACATACAACTAATCTATTGTCCTCTTTTAAAAGGAAAATGATTCTTGCATAGTTATAGTAAATTGTTAAATCTATTCTTTTAATTGTTTAATTATGCAACAAATATGGAAGTGGAGCCTCACTTAATTATATTTGGAATAAATAACCAATTAAAAATTATTCGGTTAGACAATTCACTGCAAATGTTTGGTGTTAGTATCAATACTCCTTTTAAAATTATCAGTTTGTTATTTTTAGTTTATATATATATTACCAGGTTTGAAATTTTAAAAATATATAAAAGGCAATGATGTAAAAATATCGTTTATTTGTTGATGTGATGATTTACTTTTTATAAATTCACTATAAAAAGGTTAAATTGATAAACTATTTATATATACATACACAGTAATTTACATTTTTTTTTGAAACATTTATTTTGAAACAATTAAAGATAAAAAAAGAAGTCTGACAATTATTGGGAGTACTACTACGGTAAAATTTAAAAAAACTCTACTTAATTATGCATATTTTCAAATATGCCAACTTTTTAAAACTATTAAGTTTGAATGCTAATTTTATCAAACTAATTACAAAAGTATACAAAAACACTATTTAAACTCTTTAATGGTCCTAAATGCCCTTGTCTTATCTGAAAAGTCCGGCGTGCTTCTAAGTTCATAAATTTTATTATTTCTGACTAATAATACATAAGCCAGTTTTGAGGTTCTCCAGTTCAAGTGATCATTATTCGGACAAGCTTCAACTTTCCCTCCCTTTTTTTCATTCAAAGTCTTCAACTCATTTCTCACCTCCTTCCTTCCCTTTTAATAAAATCTGAGAAATTAACTATAACCCTTTTGGCTTATTCTTTCTTTCTTCTCTCTCAAACCCATTTTCTTTCACTAGTTTTCTTGATCAAAACTCATCTTTTATATTACTTTCAGTACTTTCCCTTTCTTTTGGGTCATCAAAACAACTAAAGATTGTTTCCTTCTAAGTTCAGAAGCTCTTTTTAATTTTTGTATTTAAATTTGATATGGGTTTTTTGAAAAAGCATCAACCAAATAGCAGCCTAGGATCCGAAGGCAAGAAAACTCAAATTGGGATTTTCGTTTTTTTTGTTTTTGGGTTTCTCTATTTTAGTTGTTTAGATTTATATTAGATGAGTACAATATATATTTATATAATGGGTATTCTAGTTTAGTTCAAAATACTTGCTTAATGGGTATTTTTTTTAATTTCGTACGTTTTGTCTGTTAGACCTCGTCACCGGAAATAATGGAGTTAATGGACTTGAAATCAAGCTGGATTTTTCGAAAGAGAGAAAGGCATTTAGGACTATTAGAGAGTCTAAATAGTGTTTTTATGTACTTTTGTAATTAGTTTGATAAAGTTGACAATCAAACCTACTAAATTAAAAAAAAAATTAGCATATTTGAAAATATGCATAATTAAGTTGAGTATTTTTAAATTTTCCCTACTACTTAAACCATATTTGGTAAATGGGACTTACACTCCAAAGCAAGTGACCTTCGCTGGCCTATTTGGCCCAACTTGCTTTTCAACGGTCGGGAGCAAGGCGACGATCGTCCATGGCCTTCAATTTGGAAGGGTCTCAAATTTAGTACAATAATATAATATAGTAATATATGTTTGAAATATCACTACTTTGTGTAATTAAACGTAACTAGCCTTTTAATCCATTAAAAAACATTCCATAATTAAAAGAGAATACACAATCATATCTTATGTAAATTTATGACAATAAACAGGTGCTTATAGTATCAATTTACATATGTAATACAATAATTTGTTTCTATTCCTTTCCTTCAAAAGAAAAAAAGATTTATTTTTTATATTTAAAAAGAATTTGATTTATTTTATTATTATATTAGTTTTAGACTCAAGTGCAATTGTTAAGTCCAATTCAAATAATCAAATTTTTAACTGATGGATGCAATCAACTGTCAAATTTTTAACTTAGCCCCAGTTCAAACAACAAAATTATGAAAGTGATTGGAGTTATAATTTTGCATCTCAAAATATAAGACGAAGTTGATTTTTGATTTTTGTGACTAAGTTGTGTTAAATATTTTTAATTTTTTTTTTTAAATATAAATTGGATTGGATTCTTTATAAAGTACCAAGATCGATTTTTGCTTGGTGTGTTTTCAACCTTAATATATTTTATGTACTTAATTTTAATGTAAATTTCATACTCATAAATTTTTTGCTCGTGTGAAACCTTATATATAAAGGGCCTCGCATTTGAAAAATCGCGTAGGGCCTCTCAAAATTTTGGAATCTCAGGGCCGGCTAGAAGCCTATATTTTTCTAAAAATTATTAAATAGTTGCGATTACATTATTTTAGTCAATCACAATATGATACGAAAATAAAAAATAAAAATAAAAAAATAAAATAAAATTGATACATTTACTTATATATCAACTAGTAATTGACAGAAACTATGTACCCTTTAATCATTTAAAAAATTGTCATGTTTCTTCTCTTTGTTTCTCTTGTTGCCCTAAGGAAAAAATAATAATAATAATAAAATTAAAAGAACTCAAACTTGTATGGAGTAGTAAGTCTTGTGTTTGCATTGTAGGTCGTTATTATACATGTCCTCAGAGACACTTTCCCAAAAAAACAGGTCTTATTATTGTTCCTTATTTAGCAGTGTTGTTTCTCTTACTTATTTCAATCTTTGTAAAGAATTTCTGCAAGGATTTTCGTAATTATGATTTGTATGCAAATTCCAATTAATCAAGGCTTTCACGCTTGAGTGTCTGTAAATTTAACGTGAAAGAAATTATAAAACTAACATGTACAAAGTTACAACAGATGCTATTTTACAAGAAACTTAAATTGATGTCACCACAGCAAACTAAGTGGCTCTGGGATTGCTCAAATGTTGTTGCCTTACCAGTCATTTGCTTGAGGAAGTATTGACTTCAATTCAATTTTCATCAAACCAATCAGTTGACATTTTCTGTACCAGCTCTATCCGAAGAACTCTGTAGGATTTGCAAACGAAGGACTTGATATTGTGCCAATCTTTCTCGAAGGAATTCTTCCCTCCTCAAAGTCTCCAGCAAAGAGTACATCGAAACAGAGTATTGGTGGTCGGGTGTGAGATCAAAGATTTGTGATCTGCACAGAGGACAGGTCGAATGGTTCTGTAACCAAGTGTCAATGCAAGAGACATGGAAGGCATGAGAACAGTTTGGCAAATGCTTTAGGCACTCACCTTCCTCGAACTCGCCTAAGCAAACTGCACATTCAGTATTGCTTTGGCTCGATTCTTCTTCATTCTTCTTCTTGAATTGAGTGATCGGAAGTGAGTGTGTAATAAAGGAATCGAGCCCTTGGCTTTGGAACTGCAGAGAAGGATCATCAGGGTGGTTCTCATTCAGAATTCGCCTTTGTCCCCGGTTTCTTGAGAAGGTTATCCCTAGCAACGCCCAGCAGTGTAGCCTGTTGAAATTGAATATCAGGAAGATGGTACAAACAGCAGCCACCAAGGCAATCACCAACAGGTTCATAGGACTCAGTGGCATGCTAGTATATTGGAGCTGTTGATATCATCAAAATGGCAACTTAAAATTCTGATGAGGCTAATTGGAGAGCGATAAAGTCGAAGTAACAGCAAAAAATGGACAATTCAGGTTGGTGATAATTTTAAGGATGGTCTATTGCATGAACTGCCAAATGTGGCCCTTAATATTCAAATCTAAATTTTCTGTCCTATTCTTTAACTAGATGATAACAAAGCTTCATTTGGGGGTTCTTTGAAAGCTGTACTTTTCTGGTGACTGTGACAAAATCTCAGCTAATCATTACTTCTCCTTCTTGTTTGTGTTCTTGAAATTTAACACAGTTGAGGTTGTGGAGCCTTGATCACAAGCCATGTTGGCTTCGATCAAAGTTTGTGATCTTGATTGTTTCTATTCCCAACAACTAGTATCAGAGCTTTGATTGGAGAACCTAGGGCACATGAGGCGAGTTTCCAGCAAACAGTTCTTCGTAAATGGCGTCAGAGGATAAAGACATTCAAGATTGAGAAGTTTGACAATACAAACATAACATGTACATGTTACAATAGACGATATTTTACAATAAACTAAAATTGTTCCCATCACAGCAAACTAAGAGGCCCTAGATTGCTCAAATGTTGTTGCCTTACCAGTAATTGGCTTCAATTCTATTTTCATCTTGGAAACCACCCTTTTTGGAGTTGCTGTTTCTTGCATGCCTTGGTTAACCCCAAAAGTAAGAATGTCATCAACTATATGCATCTAGCAAAATGGGTTAACATGGGGGGTTTCCTTGGAGCTTCCTTAACATCATGATGCATTGCTCTTCAACCAATCAATTGCGAACGAATGACTTGGAATTTATCGAAGCAGAATATTCATGGTCCGGTGTGAATTTATTGAAACAGAATATTCATGGTCTGGTGTGAATTTATTGAAACAGAATATTCATGCTAATCTTTGTCGAAGGAAATCTTCCCTCCTCAAAGTCTCCAACAAACTGTTTATCGAAACAGAATATTCATGGTCCGGTGTGAAATCATAGATTTGTGATCTGCATAGAGGGCAGGTTGAATGGTTCTGAAACCAAGTGTCAATGCAGGGGACATGGAAGGCATGAGAACAGTTTGGTAGATGTTTTAGGCATTCACCTTCCTCGAATTCACCTAAGCAAACTGCACATTCGGTATTGCTTTGGCTCAATTCTTCTTCATTCTTCTTCTTGAACTGAGTGATGGGGAGGGAGTGTGTAATAAAGGAATCAAGCCCTCGGCTTTGGAACTGTAGAGAAGGATCATCAGGGTTGCTCTCATTCAGAATTCGCCTTTGTTCCTGGATTCTTGACCAGACAAATCTGCTGTAAATGAATAACAGGAAGATGCTACAGACAGCACCCACCACAGCAATCACCCACAGGTTCATCTAGACTGAGTGGCATGCTATACTGGAGTTGTTGATATGATCAAAATAGCAACTTAAGTGTCTGCTGAGGCTTACTGGAGAGGAATATTTGTTCAAAAATAGAAAATGATGGATTGATCAAGTCGAAGTAACGACATATATGGACATCAATTCAGCTTGGTGATATTTTTTAAGTATGTTGTCTAGCAACTAGCATGAACTGCCGAAGGGGTTCTTAATATTCAAATCTATACCATCTGTCATATTCTTTAACTTGATGATAACAAAGCCTGCTTTGGGTTCTTTGAGAGAGTTTGAAACTAGTGCTTTTCTGGTACCTCCACTGGTTTTGTACTTGTTAAATGGATCCTTTTCTTTGTCATCCTCTTTCTCATCAACAAAATGATCTACCATCATTCACTCTATTGAGCACCTCCATGGTTTTTAATTGCTGTTCTTAATTATATATACTATTCTGCAGGTAAAAAAAAAAAAAAGATGAAAGAAAAATAGGACACTGTAGATGAAATCAATGGTTACAGTTATATAGTTATGTTACTCAAACCAAAAAATGTTTCTCATCTAAATGATGAACCATAATAATTTCATTCCTGATTTCATTGAAACTTTTGCCTTTTGCCTGTTGGGATGTAAGACTCAACATTTGCACCCTCAGATATCAAGCCCTCATGCCCCAGACAATAACTAGAAGGTCCACTTTCAAAACTCAACGCAGACGTTGACAATATTTTAGAACCACCACAAGGCATTTCAACATTTGAAGAAAAATTCAGTGGTTTCGAAACAACAAGGCTCGAAATTGCAGCTGGTTTCTGAGCGAGAAGTTCAGCATCACAACCCGTTATCTGAACAGGTGGAATTTGAAAGGGCTGTGGAGGAGGAGGATTACGCCACTTTGGAAGTGGCCCAGCCAGAAGCAGTGTCTGAAGAAGCGGCCCTGCCTCCAAAACAGCCTGCAAGAGTTTTCCTTTCTGAGGCAGAGTTTTTCCCTCCACAAGATTATCAATAACTATCAAACCTTCATCGATTTTACACGTTCCTGAGGAGGCTAAACCAGTTGATGCAATGCCACCATAGTCTTGAACAAAAGAATCATTGACGAATGCCAAATTACTTGAATCACCCCCGTTCATGTTTGACAGTTGAGGGGATGAGACAGCATCAAAGATGGAAACAATGGGGGATGAACCATGTGACAGGTAATTGAATGGTTCGAAGAGAGTGTTCGATTCAACTTTGATTGAAGTTGCTTTGGCGGGGTTTAGTAGAGGGCTCTTGGGCTCGAGTTGGGGAAGAGCAGCGGAGAATTCAGCTGTGGTAGTGGAAGGCATGCCCTCATTCAGTAATCTCTGAAGTTGATCTCTTGCTTCATCTCTTTCATGGCAAGCAATTTCAAGGACTTGGAGCCAATGCTTCACATACTTCTCACTCTCTCTCATTTCCTCAATTGCTTGCACTCTTACTGATTCCAGCTCAGCTGTGGTGTCTATAAGCTTTTGCTTCAATTCATCAATGCTCTGCCAATCCATAATTGTGATAATTAGAAACAGAAAAACACGATTTCTTAAGCACAAATCCTATTGCAGTGAGATCAAACTACATGCATATATATATATATACACATTCATGTAGTGGTGTGTATATATGTACCCTTGCGCTCTCTCAGAGGTCAAAAATCAACGGAACAAAGGAGGCGCCAAACAACTTTTTCAAACATTAGAGATTTTTCATTCATTCAAAGAGAATCTTTTCAAGAATAACAAATTCAAAGTTGGGAGGAATAGTAAAATCCCATCATGGGCACATATGATGCCATGCTACTTTCTCGAATTAAGAATTAAAAAGAAACAAAGAGTATACCATTGGATTCGTTGCTTAAAAACCCAAATTGGGCAATTGGACTCTTCTATTACTTGATGATTATCATAATTTTACCACCATCATCATATTAGACTGAGAAAAATAAAATAAAAATCCTAGATACCGGTAATTAATGGATGTTTCAACGAAAATCATGAACATGCATCTACTATGTGTTTGTGTGCTGCGTACAGACAGATAGTTGTATGTGTGTGTATGCATATTTACAGACAAAGGAAACATTTAAAAGTAACAAATTCTGCCTGGATTGCAGGCTGAGAAACAAATTAAACAATCCATGTTTACATTACTAGTGCCTCGAAAGCTTGCAATTTAATTAGATTTAAAAATTAGAATCCAATTTTTCAAGAGAAACAGAGCCCAGATTATCATGATTATATTAATCCATAGTTTATCATACCACCCCATTTGAATTAAACTAATATGCTATTTCTAGTAAGATTTGCAACTGCACTCAAATAAATAAAGGAAATAAAAATGAAATTGAGGACAAACATCACAAATTCAATTAGCAAATAAAATATGTTCCAAATTCAAGTAATTTCACACATAAAGAAACAGAGTTTCAACTAAAGTATGATTTCAAAGCGACCAGAAATGAAAATTGAAACCAAAACACTAGTTGGATTAAAAATATCTGTAAGTCGGAAAAATAAATTTTAAATGCCAAACTCAAATAAGTTCCCAAAATAATTGAACTCCAAGAAATGAACTGAAAAGGCTGAAAAAACAAGAAACGAAGAATGACCCACCTCTTGATAACTCAATAAAGAAGCCTTCTCCTCCATAGTGTCTCACAATTCACAACTCTCTCTCTCTCTCCCTAAATTTCTTGTGAGAGAAAATAAGAAATGTATTGTGAGAAATTTATAGAAGAAAGGTTTCAGCATATGACAAAGGAAGGCATAGTGAGTTTTGTCACAAGCTTCCAGTAGACCCCATTAATCCACATCGATCATTGAAAATAAAAAAGGAATCATATATATATCCACATGCAAGACCTTCATTCAAAGTGGAAAAACTTGAAGACTCCATTCTTTAAGAGGTCCCTATCATATTGTTATTGGAATCCAGTTAGATTTTGCTTATATATTCCTTTGTGTTCTGGAGTCTTACAGATATTCGGCGTATAACTCTTCTTCTACTGTCTAAGCTGTTTTACGCGTTAAGGGAAAAAAAAAAAAAAAAAAAAAAAGAAAAGAAAAAGAAAAAAGAGAGAACATTCCTAAAATACCCTTTTTTGACTTTTAAACTTTGTTTGAAATGTCCTCAACGTGCGAGGGTAAAAGTAATATAACAAAAATTGGCTTTGACCCGTGGCCACAGTCCATCATGATTCACGAGTCATGATTCCTGATGATTTTACATTTTTTTTTTTTTTTTTTTGGGGCAAACAAACAACTGAAAAAAAAAAAATTATATATACATGAAAGAGAGGATAAACTCTTATATCCACCCATCTCACGATCCGCAAGAAGGAGAATATCCACAGGAAAATGAATTAATAGGGAATGATATGATTTCAAGATAATTTTGCTATTGCATTAGCGACCTCATTACTACGCCTACCTACATGGTTAACTCGAATCGAGAAAAAATCTCGAAGCATTTGAATAATATCAAATTTGATGGCTTCCATTGCTGCTGGAGTTGACTCTGATGTATTGTAGAATTTCTTTCTATAGATGGGCAATTTTATGATAAATGCAATTTTACATTGTCTTAATTTTTAGATTAGTAAGGATAATGATTTGAAATATGAAATTCAGACAATTTTGACTAATTTAAGTGAATGGATTCATTAATATCTACATCAACTCCTACTCATGTAAAATTAGTCAAATTTGTTTGATTAACGAAGAGTTATGATACAAAATTCAAAAGTGGGACACAAGCAAATACATTTATATGAGTAAGAAGATGAAATCGTCTTTGGTAATATAATCGTAACGTCATTTTTCACTCACTACAAAAATAAAATAAAAAGAATCAGATATGTCTTACTCTCGAACTGATTACCACTAAGGTCTCTCAAGTCTCATCATAACATTCTTTTTCTCTAAAGCTACATTTGGTATTATTTAATAATTTAACTCAATAATTATGAAGATACTAAAGTATATATTTAATTAATAATAATACAATATAAATACCACTTTAGAGAATAAATGTTACATAAAATGTGAATTTTATTTATTTATTTGGTAGGTGAGTGACAGAGTCGGCATTACCATGTGGAATTAAAATAGAAAGTTGAAATAGATATATATATACACACATTAATAATCTAGAAGGTCAATTGTTGGGGTATATGCGTAAATTGGGTTAGAAAAAGTTCCGTTTTTAGTCAACGGTTGGAAGAGGCCGAGATCCGTTTGGCTTGTTGTTAAGATCATAACGACTTTACACGGACCAAGTATTAGATTATTTTGTTTAGATTAAAAATTAGAATTTTTTATTAGCAAAAAATTCACATATAACATTCATATATATTTACTTTTAAAAAATAGAGGATATATCATTAGGCCACGAGACCTTGGTTAAAAATTAGAATTGCAAAAACTCAAAAGTTAGGAAGTATCTTGATTTGAAATTAAATCTTAACAGATAAATTATTACAGGGTGTTGAATCATATAGTCTCCAATTAAGTTAGCAAGTGATGCTTAGATAGTTGATGATATTGAGTGAAGGCTCCAAGTTTGTTTATGGGCAATGTAAAAGATTAAAAGTTAAATCAAAATAATTAATTGGTCTAATAGTTGTTAGGGGTGTTCAAAAAATTTGGTAAACTGAAAAATTGGACCGAACTTTACTGAATTGGGCGGTTTGGACTAGTTGTATAGCGGTTTGGTCTGGTCATGGGTCCAAAATTATGAAACCGTAATTTTTCGGTCTGGTCCTGGTTTAGAGTCGTGTCGAACTGGACCAGCCCAGACCGAACCGTTACTATGTTATATAATATATATATATTTATATATATATATATCATATACTAAACCTTTTTTTTCTTTTGTTCTTTAAATTCCTTAAATTTCCTTTAAAAAAATTCAAATTTCCCTTTTCAAATATATCTCAATTTTCTTTCCTTTCAAATATATCTCAATTTTCAATTTTCTTTCCTTTTAAATATATCTCAATTTTCTTTCCTTTATTTCTTATTAAATTTTTTTTTTTTTTTTTTTTTTTGGCGTGTTATATGAATGTTAGTTGATATATATATATATATATATATATATATATATATATAACTTTGCCCCCTCTAAATTAAAATATAATAAAAGAGAAATCAACTAAAACCGACAAACCAAACCGAACCGAACCAACCCGATTTTTCGCGGTTTGGTTTGGTTTGGTTTGGTTCCATGCACTTTATGGGTTGATCTAGTTTAAAAAATAATAGAATAATTATAAATAATTTGGTCTCAAAATATTCCAAATTCGATCCAAATCGGACCGTGCACAACCCTAATAATTGGTACCAGAGATTATAGGAATTGGGTGTGTGTATGAGACAATAAAAAATTATTCGGTGGAGTACTTCTTTTCTTTGAACATAGATTTCACGATTACTTTCCATTCATTCAAATTTGAAGTCAATACGTGACAACAAGTCAAACACAAACCATCTATTGAAATTTTTATCAAAGTCAACAAGCCTAGCCATACTGCAAATTCTTGGTAATTAAGAATAGTCAACTTACCTCATACCCTTTTCTTTTCTTTTTTCTTTTTTTTTTTTATTTTTTTTATTTTTGGTCATTACTATTTTATATATATATATATATATATATATAAGACATCCATACACTCAATGGAGTCAAAATCCTCGACTTTTCTTAATTTTTTAATTTATAAAAAGTAATGCTCTCAATTTTAAACTGGATTTTAAAAACTGATTGATACTTTATTATTGTCCTTTGTAAATCATAATTACTGATTTCTGTGTTAGATAATAGTAAATCATAATTTTTTTATTTACAGTATTGATATATATTTATTTATTTTGTCGCATGCTGGTGTCCCGTGGTCACCACATATATCGATAAAATTTTCTAAAGACAGTCCTAAGAGAATTCAAACTCCCCACCTCCAAGATGTAAGGTGAGAGTTTTGCAACTAGACATTATCACTTTTTTATTATTGCCATAACACAATGAAAAAAAATCCTTTCCAGTTACTCTCTCAATGGACAAAGAGAACATTTAATGGTGGTGATTAACGTCACTTCTCCAACATAGTCTTGTCATCATCAAGTTAGTAAGTCATGAAAGAAATTTACTTTTGTTTTACCATATGTACAAATACCACTTTATACATTATACTTTATAGAATATATTATACAGAATATATTATTATACAATTTAACTTTTCCTTTTGACTAAAATTAAAATAACCTCACTTTAGATTTTAAAACAATTCAATAAAAAATAAAATATGTAGGTAGAACATGCTACTCAAACAAAATTATAAGGAAGAATAAATCATATAATTATGGGTTATTAGGGTTAGTATACACCTACTTCAAAAATAGATCCAATTCAATTTTAATTTTTGCACCACAAACTAAATCTTACACCCCTAATCTTAAATTTTAAAGAGAATGATTGAACAAAAAAGAAAAAGGTGGCTAAGTTTTTTTTTTTTTTTTCCCCTTGTTATTACGATTATTTATATTTATTTTTTGCTATTACGATTCCATGTTCTTCTCATTTTTTATTCCTTTTTTTTTTTTTCCTTATATATACACATAGATATGTGCCAAGAAAATCAAGCAAATTTAGCAAATATAATATATATATATATATATTTTCCCAGCACAATACTACTGCACTAGCAAAGTCTATTCATTTTATGACTCATATGTTGCTTTCGAGTTCTAACTTCATTTATTCATGAGATCTAGACCAAACGGGCCTTAAAATGTGCATGATTGTAGCATGGTCATTATGAGATTTGGGCCTTCAGGCCCAATTATTAAAGCAACCTAATGTTTACAAATCCACTAATGTTTGGGTGCTTAAGTGGAGTTCATGCCCCCTGTCCAAAACCTAGCAGACTTGAGGTTGTACCGAACCAAGAATTTGGGCTCTGGGGAGCCCAACTGAAAACCATATATTTATATTTTACCACTGGGCCACAAGGCCCATTGATTAAGTTGATTAGCTTCCTTTGCTGCGTTTTGACCTTGATCTGTAAGGTACATTTTGCTTAAGATTTTCAGAAAATGAAATTTTTAATTTTTTGACGACACGCCACTCCGAACTAGTATGGTGTGACGACACATGACCAAAGAAGATGTGATGGGCCCACCATAAGTGGGACCTATAACTTGTGAGATATCAAATTATTTTTTATTTTTTATATATATTTTAAAATACGTGCATCGATCTCACAATGCACATAATATTCAAGTCAAAAGTGTTATGAAAACAAATTTCAAGCACTTACCTCCTGGATCCCTACCAACGCACGCCACTTTACTTTTGGAGGCAGACACCAAACTATCTGATTTGGTACTTTCTATCATTGCTCATTTTTTAATTCTAAAAAAAAAAAAAAAAAGTTAATTGAAATCTCATTTGATAGACAATCTTTTGAAAAAATATGAAAAAAAAAACAGTTTTAAAGAAATCTTTTATGGTGATGTAAAAACTGTTATATGTTTATATAACTGAAAAATGTCAAAGCGAGAATGCAAGGCAGGTAGCTTTTGTGAAAATTAGAGTTCAGATATACTTCAGCATATACTAAACATATGGCATTAGAGTACATATTCATATGTATGCAATATCTTAAGCACACACAAATACTGTGTGTGTGTGTGTGTGTGTGTGTGTGTGTGTTTGACCAGCCATTGGGTTTAACAGATTGGTATTACCAGATTTGGGAAGAAAGAGTGGATTCAGTCTGATAGGCCTAAATGTAGAAAGAGTGGATTCAGTCTGATTTGGGTAGAAAGAGTGGATTCATTCATATCATGATCGGAGCGATGGATAGGCCTAAATGTAGGCATATTCCACTAACAACGCCCTAAATTACAAAAAGGTACATAAATAATGACAAAAGCAAAGAAAATGGGAAGCATTCATCTTTTGTCCTCAACCAATGGTTGGACAGCCCATTCAGCCGCCCAAATTAAATTAATTATCAGATAAGATTATTTACAAATATATGTTTATTATATGTGTATGTGTGTGTTGTGTGTTGTGTGTATATATATACACACACATACATACATAGAGTGAGAGAGAGATTCCTTTAAGGCCATGGCACTGATCAATTATATTCCCGGACAAGATTAGTAGAGTGATGATTTTAGATTATTATAAATCTTGGTTTAATTTATAAATGTTTTCGTATTATTAAAATTATTATAATGACAAACGAATGCTGAGGCAGTGATGTGGTTAGTTTGTAAAATAATAGTTGCAGTTGTATAAATATAGAGATAATAAAGTCCACCATCTGCGACCAAATTAACTAGTAAATTATTATATGAAATTTGACAACTCATTTTGGTTTTTAATTAAATCTATCCCAACAAAGCATCTTAGACTGTTCATATAAAGTACAATTTTTGTTTAGAGCACAATTTACTATGTTCTTATCAATAAATATATATTAGATCCAAAAAAATACCACCACGTTCTTGCATATTTTTTTAAGAAAAAGTTTAGTGGCCATGTTTTGTTCTAGAAGTGATATTCACCTAGCTATTATTATTCTCAAGTGGGATGATTGAAACCATTCACATGGCCAAAAGGAAGACCTTATTGTTGGATTTTTGTTCATACAAATTAAAAAAAAAAAAATGTTTTTTTTTTTATTATTTGTTTATTTAAAAACAATACACTACTACTTATTTTAATGATTAAATTAAATTGCATGTAGGGGTGACAATTCGTGTTCGTGGGTTATAATTGTGTCGTGTCGATTTAAGAGTATTCTACTAAATAGGTAAATTCGTACCCAATCCATTTAATGATCATGTTAGAAACTTTCGACACTAACCTGAAACTTTGTTAACAAGTAATATCTTTTTTTTTTTTTCTTTTTGGCAAGTAATATATCTATATATCTATATATATATATATATATATATATATATATGACCGCCATATAATTCTGCACACGCCTTAATCTTTCTATTCTCTCTCTCTCTCTCTTCTTTTTAGCAGCCAAAATATTTTTTATGGACGCCGATAATCATTCTCTGCATCAAATATTCTTTGAAGAACCGTATGAATGGACGTTGAAGAAACATATTATACATCTTGGCCGTAAATCATTGTGGTCTGATTCGTTTGGCCAGCTTACATTAGTTACATACAATAATGGAATTTCCTGTGTGACAGAAAATAAATGCCCGATTTCGACAACGGTGTTGCCGTCTGATGGTTAAATTAAAAACAGGACATTTTTACTTACCTTAATGGCTAAATTAACTTGCATGTGTGTCAGTGTGTGAGAGAGAATATTTAATTTTTTTAGGCGTTGAGAGAAAAGTAGACCCTGTTTCAAAATTCTTTACTATAAACTTTGATGTTATAGTGATTTTTAACACATTTACCCCCCCCCCCCCCAAAAAAAAAAAAACACATACACACACAATTCCAATTTTTATTTTTATTTTCATTTTTATTTTTTTATTTTATTTGATTTATTTATTTTTATGCTTCATGAGCAATGAATAACATGTGCTGCTTTGTTAAATTAATTTAAGCATATTGCAAGAACTAATCTAATTTAAAAAAATGCTTGACTCATCTCAAAATGAAAACACTCCCTCTGTCCCTTATTAGTAGTTCATTTTCTCTTTTTAGAGTGTTCCAAATTAAATATCCATTTTGAAAAGTCAAACAAAATATATACCATCTTTCCATAATTACCCTTCTAACTTTTCAAAAATCTTATAATTTGGTATTATATATATTTAAAGTTTGAAAGACAATTTAATAATTAGAAATGAAAACAATGCATTAAATACATGTCTCCTTAGAAAGTTACAAAATTAAAGATGGATAACTAATAAATGACTACTTGTTTGCATCGTATGAATGAGTCAATTGGGCAACTAAGTGATTGCCATTATAATGCAACTTTGATAAAAAATTAAAAATGAATCTTTCACAAAACTAGTCGTGATATCAATCTGATCGTGATTGGCATGATTATCCATAACGCCACCTTTTTTTAAAGGCCGTTTTATGCATGAGTCAATTGCATGACTGTCTTCATCAAATTCATAATATATATATATATATATATATATATATATATATATCATGGAATACGCTCCATGATATTAATAAAGGCTGTAGGTCCTGAAAATGACTGATAGCCGTAGGTAAAATATCGATCAACAACAAAACTTTTGAATTCGCTTGAATTTTTGTCATTAATTTTTGTCATTTTAAAAATAATGATATGCAAGTCGAGTGGTATAAACAGACTCTTTTGGTGGTGGCCGGTGAAATTCATGTAAACTCCATCATGAGTCGGTTTATAAGAATATTTTTCAAATTAAAGACTAATGATACAGTGTATAATTGTTTCGATTGTAACTTGAGATCCAATAGTTTTTTTTTTTTTTTTTTTTTTTTAAGTAACTAAAATTCAAACACGTCACAATGACATAACTATTATTAGATTTCAAACATAACTATTATTATATGTCAAGCATAATGTTACAATATCTAATTATGCGATCAGTTAATAGTGTCCTAAAGTGTTTATCTCAATTAATGCATTAATTTGTAATAAAAATTGGAAGAAATTTTTATTATTTTTCATTTTGGGTGCCATTATTATCAGTACAAGTTCAGAACAAAACCGCCCTTATCAAATTCTTTGGTGGACTTGAAAAAAATAAAATAAAATAAAATGGACTGATGTATGAGAGTGGTGCCAGCACAAGTAACACTCGGTGGTCTTCATCACACTCTATAAACAATCCAATGGTCGGTTAAACTCAATCATTGTTGGGGGCCAGCTCCAATCTTTTGGTTGGCGATTGGACTTCCTCATTTTCTCCATCAACCAATCTCAACGGTCCACATCATCCCTCCAGCCACGTGTCGAAACCGGAACAAATTGGAGGCTCGCCTAACAGACGGTGACAAGTGGCTTCCACTTTGGCGTTCCTGATTTCCCGTTAAAAAGAGCTGTTACCGGTTTCTAACCGGCTGTTCCGGTTACCTCATACCTCAGTATATATATAACTCACTAATAAGCACCACAATTAACCAAATAGAGCATCAAATAGACTTTCCTAAGCTGCAGACTTCTTTAGGAAAAAAAAAAATAAAAAATTTAAATTTTGAAAAATGCCAATTTCCCGAATTGCCATCGGAAGCCCGGCTGAGGCTAGTCGGCCTGACGCTCTCAAAGCGGCTCTGGCTGAGTTCATCTCAATGCTCATTTTTGTTTTTGCCGGCGAAGGGGCGGGCATGGCTTTCAGTAAGTAGTACTCAACTTCTCTAATATATGCATGTATAGTTTACTAATTATGAATAAGAATTGAAACATTTTAATTGATGGCTTTGCAGGCAAGCTCACCGACGATGGCTCGACAACACCGGCTGGCCTGGTTGCCGCAGCCATAGCTCATGCCTTCGCACTCTTTGTGGCGGTCTCCGTTGGTGCCAACATTTCTGGTGGTCATGTCAACCCTGCTGTCACATTTGGTGCCTTCATTGGTGGTCACATTACATTGTTGAGAAGCATTTTGTATTGGATTGCCCAATGCCTTGGCTCAGTGGTTGCTTGCTTGCTTCTTAAATTCGCAACCGGTGGAATGGTAAACATAAATTTGAGATCATAGATCAATTATAGATCAATAGAAACCCAAAATTAAACACATTGTCATGATTAAAATCAAAGTCAATAGGTCACATTTAGTTTTAATTTTTTGATTTGTTTGATCTAATGCAGGAGACATCTGCATTCTCCTTATCCTCTGGCGTGACAGTATGGAATGCTCTGGTTTTCGAGATTGTGATGACGTTTGGATTGGTGTACACAGTGTATGCAACAGCAGTGGACCCCAAGAAGGGTGACATTGGCATCATTGCACCCATTGCAATTGGTTTCATAGTGGGTGCCAACATCTTGGCGGGAGGTGCTTTCGATGGCGCATCCATGAACCCGGCAGTGTCCTTCGGACCAGCTGTGGTCAGTTGGTCTTGGAGCAACCACTGGGTCTACTGGCTCGGCCCATTCGTCGGTTCTGCCATTGCTGCATTGGTCTATGAGATCTTCTTCATTAGCCCAAGCACTCACGACCAGCTCCCCACCACAGATTACTAGAAGTTGATCTCTCTGTTTTGGGTTTCTTTGGGTTTCAATGAAGTGGGTGTTGGGATGTTGTTTGATTTGATTTTCATGAGTTGGTAGAGACATTCTGGCTGTTTTTGTTTATTATGGTGAATTCAAGTTAAGTTTGTTTTGTTTCAATGGAATCAATTGTTGACTGTTGGTCATTTTATTCTGCTGGACAATTTTATGCACAATAATGCAAGCAAGAACCTACTCCAATTAATTAACTGAGCTCGGAGATTAAGATAATTAATTAACGGGTCCATAAATCACAAATTGGCTCATCAAGACAGTAATCTGTTAAGGTTAGAACCTTAAAAAAAAAAAGTATGGTTTCAATTCTAGACCATTTCCCAGTAGGCATGCCAAACGATATTGACATTGATTGCATGACTATTTGTGAAATTGAATCTTGTCCGGAGGTAAAATATTTTTTTTAAAAAGTATTTTTCTTTTTTAGGTAAAATATTATTTTATTTTTACTTTGTCGGTATTTGGCAAAGTTCTACGTCGAGATTGAGATCGAATCCATCGGGCAGGACATGTAAAATAACTTATGGAATATTTATGAATAAATTTTTTTTGTTAAATTTTAATATATTTTCTCTTCGTAAATATTTTACGACAACCAAACACTAAAAAATAAAAAAAATATTTTCTGAAAAATATTTTACGTTCAAACAAACGGTCACGAAACAGTGAACTAGTGAATTTTAGTCTAATTTTCTATTTCTTGAGAACATACAAGTTTGAGTAATGCTATAATGCTCGATCAGTTTTTTGTGCTGACTCCAATAGGTAGAAAATAGAGCCAAATAGATCCCAACTCTGGATGTCCCGTTCCCTGCCCTCACCCTGAGTTTGTGGTTTCTTAATTATGTCACGTTGCTTCTCGAGAAGACTAAGAACCGTGGAAAAATGTTACTTTGTAACCTTGTATGTTTCTTTAATCTTTGGGAAATTTGGCAGTTTCAGCTTCTGCCATTTTGAAAATGTACTACTAAAGAACTAGATGGTCAAGATTATGATATTGGTTTTTATTAATCATGTTGTTTCACATATCGGCAAGTCAATGCCAACTAAAACTTCATAATTGATATTACACATCTCAGATTTGTGTTTCTTTGGTTCTGACTCAAACTAGGGAGATGGAGAAATGTATGCAAATTTCAGTTCCTTCGAATCTGCTGATATGCTCTTCTATGTCCAGAGAGTTGGGAATGAAGAAAACGAAGGAATAGAGAAATGGTTACGAACCAAAAATCTATCGTGAGAGAGCCCCCTTACATATGAGCTCAACTCTGTCTGTACTCCATAATTTAGTTGCTTTACTGAAATTTAAAACACAAGGTTGAAATTGGGCCCCAACATTTGAAATTCAAGTACAAATGTATCTCCAATTAGTCTTATGCACATTTTAAAGTAAACAAATGATAGGTTAGTTTGGTTAGAGAAGAGAAAATGTCAATCTTCAACCACAAAAACACATGCTTTGATATTTGATTTACGGCGTAAAATTAGACTTTCCGTTTTTTTGGAGCACTTTTCCAATTATATTCTGCAGGCTTTGAACCACAGAAAAGAGAGAGCTTGTAGACAGCAAAAGAAACTGTCAAAGCGTTTATTTTATGAACATAACGCCGGTTTTTTCAAAAAAAATTCCCCTTGTTTGATGGAATGAATTTGTCTATAAGCCATATTTTCTCAATTTAACAGGCCTTCTGTTTAAAGTCTTGAAAAGAAAATAATTTTCAGAAGTTAGATTTGGGTGTAAATAATCCTTTTAATTGAAAGGCAATTTGGGGAATATTTAATGATATTTGGAGGACAGAGATCAACCTATTCACGAGGGAGAGAAAAGAAAAGGTGAAAGGTGGATTAAATGAGACAAAGAACTAGTTGTCTTACTTATATATCATGAACTTTTTAAATGAAATAAATTATCAACTCTAAGATAATGTACATTTCTTATTATGTTGACTAACCATTACAACAATCGCCATACAATAAGTCAAGAAACAACAATTGCACAACTATGACAATGAATGGAGTGGGGTTTGCCCACTTGATCATTGTCTCTGTTCCAAGTGCATTACATTCATATATATATATATATATATATATATATATATATATATATATATATATTTATTTATTTATATAGTCCCTCAGTCTCAATTTAAGTGTCGTTTATGGGAGTAGTAATTTTTAAGAGGACATGTGAGACCTACATTATTTGTCTGAAAAATTACTAACTTACCATTTTAAATTTTAAATATTTAAATTTGAAATTTCAAACTCAAATTAAGTATATGGAAAGATTTGAAATATATTATTTGAAAAAGTAAAGTGGACTATTATTTTGGGAGAAAAGAAAAATAAATAAATAAATAAATGACACTTATTTTGGGACGGATAAAATATTAAATTCCTTATACCCCATTTGTGAATGATCGATCAATATTGTAAACTTGCATTACCAATGTGTTTTAATTGTAAGCATAGCACCAGTCACCCCGTCGGTCGTGATAATATTATCTGTCCTCCACTACGTAGGCCCTGTATATGATCATCAATCAATTTCTACTCGTAATGCATTTCGTGTAATCACTCATTCTTAAAACTATTACCACCACTATCATTGTAACTGAGAAGACACGATAAGTCAAATTCTGTCCCGAAGATTCTTAGCATAGGGTTCGAATTCGATTGACTTCTATGTGACACTCAAGCAAATTCACAGATTGAAAAGCACAGCACCATGGATAAGAACTAAACAACTGCTCATAGAGAGTGCAAAACGTAGCAAAAACCGCAAAATTCTTGCAGCCTATGACTTGCATGAATGATAACCTGGTTTAACATAAATATGCAGAAGTATTCGACAGTAAAGATCAAAAAATGTTAAGAAATATCAGTACCATAGAATATAAGGGCTGGTGGACATGATGGGCTCAAGCCAGCAAATATGTGCTGGCTGATCGAAGGAGATCCTCACATCAAAAGAACACTCGGTGGGAAAGAAAACAATGTCCATCCCATTTCCTTTTCCTTGAGCTGTTTGTTTGTCACTACTGATTGACCAAACTATATATGATTATATGCATTTATGTAAGTATATATGTAATGGATTTTGCAGCCCAACCACGCACATGACATTGTATTTGGAATATAAATAGCAACATTTGATTAGGACAACAGATCAAAAATAGGAGAAGCTCTTCATTACATATCATTGATGCCTTCCTTGTCCAAACATCCCCATCAGAGCTAATTAACTACCACTAATCCGTCCACCACTCTTTTTCACTTTCGAAAAATTAAATCTAGTCGATGGTGCGTCATTGTCCCCACGTGCATCACAAAAAGAAGCCGACCAAAACATCCAAGCAAAGACTATGTAGAATAAAAAATGATTTGTCGAAATTAATGATGGCCAATTTTGGGGGTGATTAGTGTTGAAGCAAAATACTAATTTAAGATTTTCCGTTCTATAATTTGAATACTAGAGAAGATACTTTTTGTTACAGCTGATAATCTTGTAGCATAAGATGTTGTCATAATCTGATCATTTTTACTAATCATTTGGTAAGTACCTAGTTGAAGTGGTCCTAATGTTTGACAAAAGGCTTTGTGTTCTCTGATTGAAGTTTTGTTGTGCGTCTCTTTTGTGTGTGTGTGTCTTTATGCAAGTATATATGAAACAGAGTAACATCAATTCTCATACATCAACAGCTTGATAAAAACAAGAGTTTGTAGCAAGTACCTAGTTGAAGTGGGTACTAATGTTTGACAAAAGGCTTTGTGTTCTCTGATTGAAGTTTTGTGCTTGTGTCACTTTTGTGTTTGTGTCTTTATGCAAGTATATATGAAACAGAGCAACATCAAGTCTCATACATCAACAGCTTGATAAAAACAAGAGTTTGTAGCAAGAAAAGCATTTACAACAAGACTTAAAACATTGTATATTACATATCCATGAACAATACAGCCTCCAGCTTTCATCCTGAAAGTGAAAGCGCACACACTACATAGACACTGACTACAATTATGCATGAGATGATTACAATGATATTTCGGAAAACTACATGCAACATAAAGATGGATATATAGGTACACGTTAGGGATATTTCTTAGGAGGACATTAATTAATATTACACATATGAACAAAGATTGAATAAATATTGCAAAAGCTGAATTAGCCAGTTAGAAACGCGCTCTCTTGCTCGTTGTAAAAGGAATCAGTTATCGGAAGGAACTTCTTACTCTCATCATCCATCATCCACAGTGCGTCCGGACAATAGTCCCATATGGGAGAAGCCAAAGGCTGACAAGTAAAGCTACCACCATCTTCAATTAAGCCATCTTTGACAGGTTTCATAGTCTCATCTTCAAACAGAGTTATATCTTTCCATATCTCATCCATTGAGTAACCCTTTTCCATCTCTTCCTCCGCTTCACTCTGCTTGTCAAGTCCCCCTGTGTCGTAGAAGGTACGCTCTTTGGTCTCAGTGACCGGCTCCAAATGCACGGTGGTGGGATTGTTTGATGATGATGATGAAGATGAACAATTCGAAAGAGAAGATGAAGGAGAGATAGCCCTTTTCCTCTCTTGAGCCTTCTTCCTCATATGAGTCCTCCAATAGTTCTTTATCTCATTATCAGTTCGACCAGGTAACTTCCTAGCGATTCTTGACCATCTGCAATTGATTATCACCATATATATTACATGAACATAACTACATATCACTTGAATTCTCAACATGTATATGTAAAAAATTAAAATTGAAACATGTATTTGGCTTCATATATTTTTGTGCATATATATGAATATTGTTTCAAGTGACTATAACCCTATATGTTACATGAAGTACATAATTAGATATATATCACATAAATTCTAAAGAAATTTAATCTTTCTAATCGTAAACATGTATAAAATTAAAATTGAAACATGTATTCTAGACTTAATAAATATATATTTGTGCATACATATAAATATATATATATAGTGTTCCAAACCTATTTCCCCATTTGGCATGAAGCTCAAGGACGAGGCGCTCTTCTTGGGGAGTCATCTTGCCACGTTTGAGGCCGGGGTGGAGGTAATTAACCCAACGCAACCTGCAACTCTTTCCTGTTCTTTTCAAACCTACAACAAAACCATGAGGTTAATGGAAGGCTCATTCCAATAACCATCCCATGACCCAAATAAGCCTACCTATTATTTGTCTCCCGCCACCTTCAAACCTGAAACTTTTGATATGAAATCCCAACGACGATCGCCAAACAAGTTCACGTAGAAAACCAGTTGAACATCTTCATGTTCAGTCCATGGACCCTTTCTGATCATTTCCTGATCTTGCACCATTTTTCTTACCTTTGTTTTTTTGTCTGCTGTCAATCTAATTCCCTTTCCTCTTCCCTTTTTCTTTTTCTTTTCCTTCCTTTAGCTAGGTAGAGAAAGGAATTGCTTTCTTTCAACTAGTACACCTTTAGCTAGGGATCAAAGGAATTGCTTTCTTTCAACAAACAACTAGTAGTGTACTTAATTAGTAGTGGTGGTACATGAAAACTTTGGTGAAATGCTACTAATATTTATATGGGCTCATTTTCCATTGTGGACAAAGTATGTGATAAAGTTTGTATGATTTTAAAATCATGAGTTGAATCTTAACCGTCCATGTGTCGCGCAAGTGCTGGTTCTGCTAAAGCCACCTTGTGAGCTCTGATGTCAACCACTATAGCCAAGTACTAATCTAGATAAGCGATTGATATGTTGATGTAACTTTCATGACATGCCCTTCATAACAGTACTATCAGATGTCACTATACTTGCTAATATTGCTCCTTTTTTCCAGTCATTGTTTGTGTGTGTGTCAGTGTGTGTGTGGAATTGTATATACATTTTCTATGCTACAATAGATTTGCATTTAAATTAACCATTTTGGATGTTCATGAGCAGATGAGTTTAAAAATTAACCACTAAGCTAAGAAATTAGAAAGAAAAAAAAAAAAAAAAAAAAAACCAATTGCTTTTACATAAAGTGGGAAAAAGTGGAAAACTTATATTAAAGGAAACAATAGAAAAGAAAGATTAGCTCAAGACTTGTTTGGATTTATGTGAAAAGGGTTTGTAGAAGTAGCTAGATCTTCATCCTTTTCCATCCAATTCGAGGGGAGGGAATGATGGTGGGCAGTGTCCCTTGACTTATGTAAAGGCCTTGATAGGAGGATATAGAACCCAATAAAAGGAAAAGATAAATGGACAAAAGCTCTCTCCCTCTATATATATATATATATATATATATATATTGAAAAGTACGGATACACCAACTGTTTTGGTTTCTTCATGAGTGCCTTTTCTCTCTAATAAAAAAGGATGACAAAATGAGATATAATATTTTCCTCGTTTATACTTTTCCAAAAAAAAAATTGTTTTTTTCGTTGGTTTTTATTGAATTATGACAAAAAAAAAAAAAAAAAAAAAAAAAATTGTCTTTTACATATCAAGTTAGAGTGGCCTAATTAATTTAAATTAGCAGCCGCCTCAGTCCTCACACGAGATTAGTTGGTTAAGTCTTTTATATATTATTTGCAAAACTGCATTGTCTTGACATGTCCAATGAATTTATTGCTACTACTACTATTCATCAATTTATGGAAATTAAGTGAGTAGGAGAGTTTTCAATCAATAAAGACACCACTTGGACGAACGATAACTTGATTTGGATGAACTTTAATGCTCGTGTCAATTGGGACAAGTGCGCTAAATGATTTGGATGAACCATAACACTCGTGTCAATTGGGACAAGTGCGCTAAATGAGCCTAAAGGGTTAATCAGCCATCCGTCTAACCAAGTGATGAAATGAAATTTCGTGAAATTAGTAGAGAGTAGAATTAGAATTGATTGCATGAATGATTATATTTGTAACGTTAATTTGATTAGCAGAAGTGCAGAATTTGTATCACAGTTTGTTATAGTATTTAGATTTTTATTTATGTTACAATTAAATAAAAAAAGAAAAGAAAAGAAAAATATAATAAGTTCAAAATGTTGAAAAAAAATGGTTAGAATTAGTTTGATACTACTTCCAAGGACTCTGCCGAGTTTAAAAGATCAAATTGATCATTGTTCCCACTACTTTATTTTCTACAAAGTAATGAGTTTTGAAATGATTCAAAAATGTAAAAAAGAATAAGAATGACATATTGGAACTATTTTAATGTCAATTGCGGCAATTGCCTGTAGTTTTCATCCATTGTTGAAGTGAATGTGACGATAAGAATCCAACAGTGTATGAAAATCTATAGAGATTTAATTCCAATCTGAAAATCTGTGATGAGCCATAATATTATCTCATGTACTACCAAAATCATAATAAATAAAATCCATAAATATTTATAAATAAAATCTTTGATATAGCGAAATGAAACTGCTTAAATTTCATTTTTGGAACAATTTTCAGTAGAAAAATATGATTCATGTAATTTACCTAAAATAGCTAGTTAAAGAAAATTTGTGTCTCAGTTAAACTATAATTTTCAAAGTCTAATTTGTTGATTTAAGTTGAACTATAATTTTTAGTTATAATTAAATAATATAAAAAAAAAAAAACTTGCTGATATATATACCTACAAATGTATTGGAAACAAAGTAGAATGAAAATTTTAATATTTTATTTTTAGGTGAGTAAATGGAACGATTTTACATTCATATAGAAAAATTTAAACCGATCTTATTCTATAGTTTTTTTAAGTTGCAATTAACTTGATATTGAGTCCTGATATAGCTATAGAAAGTTGAACCCTATTATTTTTGTGTATTAATATTTAAAATCGTAATTTATATATTACTGTTCTATGTTAGTTCTAATAATTGATGATGTCTAAAGGAGATTTATCCTCTTAATCCCTAATAACTCAACTCTAAATTTCTCCTTTGAAGACGAGAGATCATATTATTTTATTTGGACTGACTTTGGCCCGTGACTAGGGGTGCATACGGTTCGGTTTGAATCGGTTTATGAGTTTTTTGAAACCAAACTAAATCTAATGGATTCATAAAATTTGGAACCAAACTGAACCATTTGATCAAAGGAACCAAACCATACCAAATCGTGAAAAACCAATTTGGTTCGGTTCGGTTCCACGTTTTGTTTTTTTTTTGTTTTTTTTTACTTACTACGGAAGTATTCATATTTTAAAATCTACATAAAACTATTAATATGTTCAGAACTTTTAATTCATTTTTCTCTATCACTACTAAAACTGAAGTGAATAAATCCAGAATTGCTAATAACCTAATACATGTAGAATTACTAATTCAACAACAAACAATCAACCATAATTCAAAATTCAGCTACTATAAAAAATAAAATAATAATAATAATAAAAAATCATCTAATAAATTGATAATACCTATATAAGATAATTAAGAGTGTATTATAGGATTGATAGTTGCTACAAATTTTTAAGTGATTTGGATTGTAGGATTATATATATATATAATAACAGTTTGGTTCAGTTTAGTTCGGTCGACCTCAAACCGCATTTTTACGATTTCACAAATTTAGAATTGTGACCAAACCAAATCATTAGTAAATCAAATTATATTGTTCGGTTCAATTTAGTTCGATTTGGATTTTCAGTTTGACTGAATTTTTGTACACTCCTATCCTTGATAGACAAGTAAGAAAAAGGCGTACAAAGAGACAAATATATATATATATATATATATATGTATGTATGTATAAATTATACTAGTGTATATATGTATTGACAGCAAGTGAGGTGGGGCTAGCGAAATGAGATGCTTATACAATAGCACTAGAAAGAATATGATAAGGAGATATTTAAGAGTGGGAAATGACATAATATGCGGACCCCATTCTACTGCCAACAATATTATATATGTGGTGTTGATGTTAGCACTGTATCCAGCATTGTAAAAGCCTCTATATAAAAACAAAAGCCAATATTAATTAATTATATTCTAAAGTGAACGAATTGAAATTCGAATTGAAATTCGAATTGGGTGGTGGCTCCTTGCTTTGAGGGCTCTTCGGCTTGAGTGGGGGATTGAAAGACTAACCAAAATATTGAACCACCGTGACGTGGATATCACCATCTTGTCTTGTGGCCACCCCACTTAAATTTTATCACCTCATTATAAATAAAATTATATATATATATATGTGTGTGTGTGTGTTTGCACATACAAACAAAGCAGGGATAGGGCGTTTTGCGAGTGTCTTTTGGTAATTTATAGCTCTTAGCCTTATTCCACGTTTTAATTTAGAATCACAATTTCTATATGAGAAATGGTAACTCTTTCGATTTTAATTTTTGTCTCCTTTTCCGAATACAACGTGGTTGGATCACGTTGGAACTCTTAAAAAAAAAAATCTGTAAACAACTTTTTTTCTTTGACTCATTCCCAATCACGTTGTATTTGAAGGAAAAGTCAACAATTAATGTGGAAAGATCTATCATTTTTCTTTCTATATATAGAGATTTAAATGAGAAAGTTTTATTTTGTTACAAAATTAAATCACTAATACTCCTTGTGATCGCTGAGAAAACAAGGAAAAGTGTAACTTTAAAGCTTAGATCTTCTAATTGACGTGAACCTTCTGCCAAGTAAGCATTCCTTAAGGTGAGAGTAGGCATTTCTTGAAACACAAAACAATTTTTTTTCTCGTTAAATTTTTTCTTTATAACAAATTATTTTCTTGAAATTGAAATCAAATTTAATAGACCAAATCTAAAATTTCATCTTCTTTTAATGTACATTGTACTAATTGTCAAGATACTGTTTGGATCACTAGAAGTCTAAATATGTAGGGCGATATGTTTTTGACACAATTCGATAAGATCACTTATCTCATAGAGAAACATTCTCGATCAGCAACGATCCAACAGTCAATTCTTAATAGCTTGCATCGCTTTTTTGCCAAATTCGATCAGAAATGATCCAACAGTCAATTCTTAGTAACTTGCATCGCTATAGGAAGTTGGTCTAATATTTAAAGAATTTTTTTTTGGAGAAAGCATTAGAAAGTTATCTTTCTTTTTTTTGTAATTTTCATAAACAGTACCAAATCGAACTATTTTTAAGATTCGACATATATAAGTAGTGCTTATGGTGTTCAAATGTACATTCATTCTTTATCAATAACATATCAATTTTTATCTTTCTGAACTTGTAGATTCTAAATTGTTCTTTCGTCAACTTTCATATTTTCGACTCCGACATCTTTCCTCCTTTTCTCCATATAGCAACTAATCACTATTCAGGTGCTAATTTTACATGGAATCCATTATGAATGGTAGTAATCGTTGAAGGGTCCATAAGAATGATCCAAGTGGCAGCAGGTGGCATATAGATACAGTATATGCAATTGCACAAAGCAATTTGCATCATCCATTAATTCTCTCCAAGTAGAAAAATATATAAATGGAAAGACGTGATAAGTTATATATGTGATACAAGTGATAAGATTTTTTATTATCTGAATAGTCCATCGCTGTTTGCTTTTTTGGGCACTGAGTGTCATGGGTTGGCATAGAGACGAAGACTAATTTCCT